ATAGTCAGCTCCCTCCCCTACAAGAATCTTTGAAATAGAAAAACAAAGGGTTGGGCTTACCCTATCTTATTTCAGGATTTACTATGACACTTCAATGAGAAAGAATGACATAAAAAGGGAAAAACAGAGTTCAAAAGAGATGCATAATGTATAGCCAATTTATTTTCAACAAAGGCATCAGATAATTCAATAGAAAAAGAAGTCTTTTTAGCAAATTGTTTTGGAACTGGAGGAACACATGAAAAAAATGAACCTCTACCCAGACATCACACCACATTTGAACATGATTTCAGATAGATGCTATATTTGGAAGCTGTTAATATAAAGTTTCTAGAAGGAAACTTAGAAGAGTACATTTGCAAACGTGGTGTAAGCAAAGATTTAATAGTGAGTTCCTAAAGAGCACTAAAAATGAAATAATCAAATTGATACACTGAAACGCATTAAAATTAATGTCTGCTTATCAAAAATGCAAAAAGGTAGGGGAGAGTGGGGGACCGACTGTTTAATGGGTATAGGTTTTCTTTTGGGGTGCTAAAAATGGTGTGGAGTTAAGATGGTTGTACATCATTGTGACTGTATTAAATGACACTGAGTAGTATACTTTAAAATGTTCAATTTTGTGTTATGTGAATTTAATCTCAATAAAAAAAGAAAAAAGAAAGAGAATGAGAATAAGTAGCATTTAGGGATGAATGATTAGAAAACTGGGCAAATTTATAGGACACATGGCACTTAAAAGCAAGATAAAGAAAGAAAATGTAAACTATTTAGTAGGGGAGACATTTGCCATATACATATGGGGAAAGAAATGTGTATCATGATAATATAAAGAACACTTAAAAATGTAGAGTAAATAAACAACCCACTTTAAATGCAATTTTAAAATATTACAAATGATTCTCACACAGCAAAATGATTGACTAAACGGTGGTACATAAACAGAACTAAGCATCCCACCAAAACGGATGGAGGAAGATCTCTCCACATCTCCATACTGATGGAATGATTTCCATGTGGAAAAGGCAAACTATAAAAGGGCATCTATGGGGTACTACCACTCACATTAAGATGGAAGGGGCTATGAGAACTTACATGCATTTGCCCACTTGTGAACAAAGGAAAACAGAGAAGTTAAACCAGAAACCAGTGGGAATAGTTACCTCCAGAGGCTGAGGGTCTATGGAGTGGACAGATGGGATGAATGGGATCCGTGTAGTGAGGGGAGAGCGACAATTCTCACTATTCTAATTCTTGGAACCAGTGTAATGTTTCACAAATGCAAAAATAGTTAAAATCAACCATGAGGTGGGGGAACTTAAAATAGAATATAAACAGTGAGAAAGTACATGACTCTATGATTAACAGGTAGTGGATCAGGAGAAAAAAATTAATCTAAGTTTGGGGAATTGTGTTCACCTGGATACTATATAGGTAAAGAAAAAATTATATTTACATATTGTAATTTAGTTAGTGATTTTCTTTTTAAAAGGGTAAGGTATAGCAATTGCAGGATTTAGGAAACAAGAAAATATATTGTGGATAATGAAAGGTAGGTTTCTTGCTGTTGGAGCAAGGAGTTACCAGTAATGAAGGAGGGGGGATAAAATGAGCCTTGTGATTTTGGATTGTAATCAGAAATAACAGTACGGAGCTATACACACACAGATGGACAGAGAGAGAAATAAATTTGTGCATGAGTAAACATATGTGTTTCCCAACTCTGTGCACTAGTGGGGCTTAGATATAATGATATTCTAATAGTAATGAATACATGCAATACTCAGATCTTGGTTTCTAAATACTATTTTCTAATACAAAGAACCAGAGCTCCTTGTGATTCTGGGTTTGGGGAAGGAAAGCAGACGATGAGCCTAGAACGAATCATAAAATAAGGAAGTGCTCAAAAAAATTGTGTGGGAGTGTTGAAAGGACATAGGGACCAACTTTAAAAAGCTCCCAGTGGTGAAATATCGGAAACTTTTAGCAATAAAAATTAATTATTGCAATAAATGACAACCCATAGAATACAATAAATAGTATACATCCATACTGATACACAACCAAACACATAAATAAATGGGGGAAAGGACAGTTCTTCCTTGCAGTCAAGATCTAGTGAATAAATGTAGAAAGTATCATGAAAACAGGACATCAGCATTTGGCAAACACCATAATAATAATTACTGCAGGCAAGAGTCATCAGTGGGTGCTAAAATTAATGAGTGAATGAATTCGGTGAGATAAAATATTTGAATGCCTCAAAGTACTTCTTCACAAAATATTTATTAATTACAAAGATAAAAATAGTAACTTTGCAGTGGAGAAACCTGACATTCACCACCTTAACCGTATGGTCATATCTAATATAGTAAAAATAAGACATTGACATCATGCACTCCTGAATGATTCACTGAAAAGCACACACCATTATCACTGTGTTATTTTTACTAAAAGTGCATAACCCAATCTCATCACAAGAAAATATCAGATAAATCCAAATTAAGGTCTATCATACAAAATTATTCTAGCAATCTTCCGAAGTGCCCAAAAGGTTGTGAAATACAAAGAATGACAGAAGAACACTCCAAGAACAGGGGTTGGATATAGAGATAAGAAACTATTACAACTGAATCTAATATGAGATCTTGCATTGGACTGAACTAGAAAAAAGGTGGACCTGAACTAGAAAAGGGATATTAGTGAGACAATAGGCAAAATCCAAATCTTCAGACTAGTTAATAGTATTATATCGATAATAGTTCCCAGTTTTCAATAATTTTTCTGTATATTAATGTTATAATAATAGTATAGAAGATGTTAACATTAAAACAGAGTAAAGAATATATAGGAAATCTCTGTACTGTTTTTGAAATTTTCCTGTAAGTCTAAAATTACTTCAAAATAAAACACAAAATGTTGAGAAAAATTAAAAGAAATTTTACTAAAGAAGGTTTATAGCTGGCAGCTAACCTCATGAAACACTGTTTAGCTTCTCAAGTAAACAACTTATTAATTGAAGTCACAAGAAGATACCACTTCACACCCAAACAAGTCAGATTTGAAAGAATAACAACTTCCAATGTTGATAATGATGTGTAGTACAAGAAAATATCATTAGCTGAAACAGTAAAAAGTTTCCACCTCTGTAAGACTCTCTGGCAGTTTCTTATAAAGTTAAGCAAAGTCCATCTTATGATGAAGCAAATTCCATTTTTATGTAATTACGTAAGAGATCTGCTAGCACATTTAAAATAACTAAGAACTAGAAGCAACCCAGATGTCCATTAACAGGCAAATGGATAAACTGTAATATGCCCATTCAATAGAATGTTACTCTGCAACTTAAAAAAGAAATTTAAACCTACTAATATAGGAAGTGACATGGATTAATCTCAATATCATTATGATGAATGGAAGAAGCCAGACATATACTATGTGAATCTATTTAGATTAATTTCAAAAACAGGCAAATGCTGATAGAAATCAGGACACTGTTTCCTATGAGAATTAGGCTTGGATGGAAGGAGGAAGTACTGAAGGTTCTTAAATAATAAAAAGATTCCATTTCCTGAATATGTTATAGTTACATGGGTTACATGGTTATATACTTTTAAAAAAACTTATTGAATTAAACAACTAAAATCCATGCATTTATCTGTGTACAAATATAAGTATTAAATATAGTAATGAAACACCTCATATGCTGATATGAAACGATTTGCTAGAAATACTAAAATATTTGTACATTATATAAATATATAAAAGAAGTTAGAGAACATTATAAAAGTGTGTGTATGTATGTGTCTATCTATACATAGACATTTTGGGATGTGTATGTGTGTTTATGTGTATCTGTCTGAAAGGAAAACAAGAATCTATAACACAAATTGTCTTCAGGAAGAAGAAATTGCAATGGTGGTTATAGAGGACATAATTGAGAAATGAATTATTTTTCACTGAATATCCTTTTGGAAATTCTGCATTTTATAATGTATACTATGACTTAAAAATAAAATTTTATAAAGGCATCTGGGGGAAAGAAGTGTTATGATTTCCCTAACTTTATTTGAAAATACTTTAACAAAACATGAGGTGAATATGGCAAAATGCTGATAATGGTGGAACTTGGCTTCCTAGTATCTGCAAGCTAACTGTTCTTTTCTCCTTATACTCTGAATGTTTCCACTGTATTCATAATGAAAAGTGTTATAAAATTCACAATGGAGCAAATCTTTCATTACTAAGAACAAGTGAAAATGAGTGGATAACATATCTAAGAATTTATTTTAAAAAATCATTAAAGGAATACAGAAAAAAACATACATAAATCTGAACATCACACACACACACACACATACAGACAAATTATACCAAAGAGCTGTTTGGGGGAGATGGGAGGGGGAACTGGTGATGCTAAACATTCATGAGTCATTCTTATTTCACTAAAACAGGCATAGCAAAAATAACCAAAACTGGAACGAACATGGATATCAATTGAAACAAGAACTTAAAAGAGAAATGAAAGAACATGTTGTATAGCTTCATGATACTGTGTTTGAAAATTTGCTTGGGTTGTGATTTTCCAGGAGAACAAATTAAATATGATACAAAATAAGAAACAAACAATAACCATAGAAATAAATGAGAAGATTTTTCTAGATAGTCTCAGTTCTACTCAAAACCACCAAAAACAAAGGCGAGCTCAGAGACTGAACTGATGCATATGCTTGATTGACTGTTAACACTAGAGCTTTTCAAGACATTCTAGAACACTCAGAACTATTTAATACAATCAGAAAATCTGATACTAAAGCATGACAAAATGAGAAAATTGCAGATTAATTTAACAGTATACTTGTAAAAATTCCAAATCAAATTAATATACTAATAATTTAGTAGTAAATCTAAAGAGTAAAACATTTTTTTCATCCCAAATAGTGTTTGCTCATTCAAAGAATAAAACAAAAGTGCAGTAGTAGAAAATAAATTATTTCACACTGATAAAAGTTTAATTAAAAATTAATACAGTTTGTGCAAAAAGCATTTGATTATATCTACCACCTGGTTTTGATTAAAATTCCTTAGAAATATATAAAACATAGGAGACTTTCTAACATGATACTCAAAAATATCTCAAATTTACAATTAGCATCTTATATTGATGACTGAGACAGCCTCTATCAAAATAACTTACCTATTAGGACTAAGATCTGATACTACCCCCAGCAGAGTCCTATAAACAAGATAGAACTGTAAACAAATAAATAAATTCACAGTTTGCTCATCTAAGCAAATCACTCTTCTGTCATTGATAACATCTTACACACACTGACAAACATCTAATTTAAGACAAAAACTTTTATCTAGCCTATCTAGCCTCACATTCCGTTTTCATTTAAACTATGCTTGGCAAATTTTGCCCATTCCTACCCAGATCTCTGACTTGAAAAACCCACCTTAAACCATACCATCCCAGACCCAAAGCTCTAATTTCCTAGTTTTAAAACACTACTGACCCTTGTCAAAGTGGTGTTTCCCATGGCTGGAGTAGGTTTATAAACTCAGCTTTGCTTGATTATTGCTCTTTCTGGGAGTCTTTTGGATACTAGACAAGCAACAATGTGCTGGTCAAATCCAACCATTGCAGCAAAACCTGATTAAGTCAAGGGTGGGTAATTTTAAGTGCTGTGAAAGTACCAGTCAGTAAACTTTATCAATATAACTAAACCCAGATCATTTGGAAGGAAAGAATCAAAACTATCAGTATTTACAAAGGATTTAGTACATACTTTGAAAAAATCTGAAGTAATGGGTAAGAGTAAGTTGACCACTAACCCATAAAAACAAAACAAACTTTCAGATACATAAAAATTATCAAGGAAGAAAATAAACTGAAAGAAAATACCCCATCACAAAGTTAAAATATTAACAGTAATTAAAGTTATTAAATAAAAGATAAGAAAGACATACCTTGTCCTTGTGTAGGAAGATTTATATTTTTAAAAGCCAATTCTCCCCTAAATTATTTATTAAAGTTGATGAAATTGCAGTCTAAACTGTAATTTCCACCAATGAGAAGACACATGAGACAGGAGGCAGAAGAAGAGACACAGATTCACAGAACAAAAATGGAGCCAGTCACAGATGAGAATACAGCATATGTGCAAAGGTGTGGCATTACAGATAAATGGGCAATTATTGGCAAATAATCGCAGGTAATGGCAAATAACTTGGCAACTTTAAGATTTCAAATAAAAAAAATTTCTCATGATTAACTAATTTGAATTTAAAAAAACACAAAAGAATTAGAAGTTAACATAGGTGAAGGGTTTTATGGAATCAATATAAATATCCTTCCAAAATGACATGAAACTCAGAAGCCATAGAAGCAAACATGGTTAACTTGGACATATAACAATCATACACATTCTTGTAACAAAAATGATGTTTAAAACTGTGTAAAAAATATCTGTAATACTTGACAATCCAAAGCTTATTCCCCCAATAATAAATGAGCTCTTCAAAATCACGAAGAGACTAAGACTTCCCTCCACCCTCAAAATTGGACATAAGGAGGAAATTAAAAAATACAGATGGCTAGTAAACATGAAAAAATGATCAAACTCAAAAACAAAAGAAATACAATTTAAGACAATAGTTTGGGCTATCATACTGGCAAAGATTTTAAGTATTTATAAAATCTATTATCTGTGAGGTGTGGGAAAGCTGGCAATCTCATTCATTGCCATATGAGGAAAAAATTCTTACCACAATTTTAAGGAAATCTTGTAATAATTTTCAAAATTTGAAATGTGCATATCCTTAATCCCAGTATTTCAACTGCTAAGTATTATGGTATAATAGACAAATGCAAAATAAGTGATGTATAGGGAGGCTCACTGCACAGAAATTTGGTGCTAACATAATTATCTATGAATGAGAAATGCTTAAAACAATTATATTTCATCTATAAAATAGTCATGCAGTCATTCAACAAATGACACAGACGTGCATTACTGAAATAGAAAACTGGCATTGAAAAAACTGTTAAAGGAAAGGCAATTTTCAGAAAAATGTGTACAATAGGGCCCCACTTCCAGAACCCCCCAATATAGCTTTTAAGTATGTGTGTGTGTGTGTGTGCATATCTATCCACTTAAAAAATGCACACAACTCCCTTAACAGAAGAAAACTGGGGAACAGACTGCGACTGACAAACGTACTTAATTATATATTAGATATTTAGATATGATTTGAATTTTTATAAAAGTTTACTCAGTTTCTTTTTAATATACCCTATTTAAAAAATTTACCACATGGCAAATGAAAATGATAAATGTATAGTTAATGGGATCACTAAGCAATTCCATCATTTTGAGTTTCTTGTGCAGTAATATTTCCTCTACTGAGGCTCCTGGGATTGAGTCAAGTGGCAGCAAGGAAAACAGCCACCATGCCCAAATTAAAGTCTCATCGATGATATCCCGACATGAGCATTTCTCAGTTAAGCATGTCTTATCTGCAGGAGGTGTCCACTGCAACACAGGACAGAGAGGAGTCGCCATGCATAAGGAAGACTGTATCGTTGTTTTGGTGAAGCCTGTGGTAGAAGTAATGGCAGCCACAGCACCAAATCCACCTCGCCTTTGCAATCGTCACCTGTGAGGACACAGGGGGGAAAATTGGCAACGGTGAAGAACACGTGTTTTAAGGAGACTGCCAGGGGAAATGAAGTCCTCGTGCACTCCTATATGTGCCTGAACCATCTACCCGGAGTTTGCAGAGAAACCCACATCTTCAGCATCTGGGGCCATGCTGTGGCCAGAAAAAAAATGACTTTAAAACTTCCTAAAATCAAAGATGCCAAACATGAGTGCTGCACTTTCTCCTTCATTGGCTAAAAAGTTATGGACATCTCCTACCACCTCAGATCGTAATCTGTCTCTTGACTTCTGTATTTGGCTCCTTTAAGTTCTAGATCACTCATTCATTTGATGAATTATTTCAGACAAAACTACTTGACTGCTCTCCAGTCTAATAGTTTTTGAGTATTACTATATCTCAGGCACACAATTTTCTGGTAACATAATGGATCCAGCCAAGAAGGAGCTCAGTTTATTGGATAATAATAAAAGTTAAGGAAATCTTTCACATTAACAGTGAATGTACTAGTTAAAGTGAGAAAAGCTATGTAGGTATATAAGAAAAACTATCACTTAACTCATTATGCAATATGGCCCTTGGAGTCAATTAGATTGCAAAAAAAATCATTAATCTTCAGAAAATTAACATCCAATTTTTCTATACAGATGTTAGAAAGCAAGCACTATTCTGACAAAAACCTTACCTTCAGAAGATGCCCCTTGGACAACAGGCTTTTTGTTTGAAAAGTCTTGTTTCAGTGATGTATTGGTATCATTTACTCCAAAGAGTTCCCAAGAAGTCATCTTCTGAGGGAAAAACAAATGAGAAATACCACTTCCAGTGAAAAAGGCAATTCAGCTGGAAAATGAGAAGACACTCTTTGTACTTTATCATATTAATTTCTTTTGGAACCTGCTTCTCATTCAGTTATACAGCTCTGAAACTATGGTCAGCTGCTCCATGACACTACCCATTACTGTCAGCACCTTGCATTAGTGCCCTTCTTCTTGCACATTTCCAAAACCAACTGGATTGCCTGAATACTACTGAAAATTACATCTCTCTTTTTACATCATTTTTTTTTTGGTGCTTAGTTGACAGGGTTATTTACAAAATTACTCAAAATAATCTACTCCTATATCTAATCTTGATCAAAATTTGTGGAGAACCTATCCCATGCCTGGCAATCCATAAAGTGCTTGTGTCACAAAATCACTCTGAAACATCAGAACATAAGAAGTTAAAAGCCCAGTCATACAAATAAAGAACTGAAAAGTAACTTTGTAAATTGTCTTATCGAGGTAAATTTAGTTTTAGGATAGGATTGTTGAGGAAGTACCACCATTTAGGGAGACCTGTTATTACCCACAGCTGTAACTCCCAATATCTGTGCCCAATCTCATCTGGCTCTTGGATGGATTTTTAATGCTATTTAGCTACAACCAAAAGACATAAAGCTTAAGGAGAGCAAGATCTATCAACTCCTATTCATTTTAGGTCTTTTTCATATAAACATGCTCATACAGTCATACCTAAAAGGGTGTCCAGAAGACCACAGGTAGAGATGGAAAACCACCGACTGAGAAGTCGTGAGCTCATTCTGTGGAGACAACATCCAAGAGATAAGGCAAAGGCACAGAGCCCTTCTAGGCTCTATCAACACCTGACAGGAAGAAAAAAAAAAGAAAAAGAACATTTTAAGAAAAATATATGCAGATAGAAATATAAATGCATCTATATTACATATAAAATATACATAAACATGTGAAAAAATCTAATTTAAAAAGAAAATATCATGAATCATGGGTATTTTGTGCTATACAGACTGGGAAGAGTGGTGGTTACTCATTTCATTGTGTGTCATGTGTACAACCTTCACACATGCACAGCTCTCCCTTCCCTCTGAGGCCCAAAGACACAGAGAGCATCTGGCTATAGGTGCGGGGGCTAGGGGCTGCGGGAAACAGGTGAAGCGGCTAAGGAGGTACCAACTTCAAATCAGAAGATAAATTAGTCATGGGAATGGAAATCCAGCAGAGGGAACATAGCTAATAATACTGTAATTTCTTTGTATGTTGACAGATGTTAACTGTACTCATGGTGAGCATTTAGTAATGTATGGGATTGTCAAATCACTATGTTGTACATCTGAAACCAATATATTGTATATCAACTATATTTTAATTAAAAAAACAAAAAAAGCCAATCTCAATCATAGTGTGCAGTAATTTGAGAAAAATAACTACACAGGTAAGGAGTGCATAGTTTTCTAGCCTGTCACAAACTGCGTTTGGGGGCCATTTCTCATTCTCCTCTAATGCTCTTACTCAACAGGACACACATGCTGAGGCACCAGGGACATTCTCTCGATCACATACCTCAGTTTGGCCAATGTCTTCATTCCTGAAAAGGAAATAACTATTCAAGGAATTATACCTTATGCTCTGAGCTAAGCACAGAAATGTCAAAAATCCTAGATTCTAAAGGAATGGAAACCATGGAGGATTTACTACATTATTAATGTCTATATCTGATGTGAGTATACGAGGCCTCCGGAAATAGATTAATTATTGACAAGCAACCAAAGTATCTATCAATAGATGATACACAATAGACTGTTATTCAGCCATAAAAAAAGAAAGAAGTCCTGACACTTGTGACAACATGGATAGACCTAGAGGGCATTATGCTCAGTGAAATAAGGCAGGTGGGGAAAGACAAGTACCTATGTTTTCACTTCCATGTGGAATTTAAAACAAAGCAAACAAGGTGAAGAAAACAGCAGTAGACTCATAGACACTGAGAAGTAACTGGTGGTTACCATGGGGGAGGGGGTTGAGGTGGGTGGGTGGGGAGTGTGAGGGGGATAAAGAGGCACAAAATCTCAATCATAATATAAGTTGGTCATGGGGATGGAAGGGTAGCATGGAGAATATAGTCAGTGGTTCTTCAACATCTTGCTATGTTGACAGATAGTAACAGCACTAGTTGGGATGAGGATTTAACAATGGGTGTAACTGATGAATCACTGTGTTGTATACTTGAAACCAATATACTGTATATCAACTATACTTAAAAAAAACTGGCTAGAAACAGATAAATTTGAATGAGTGGTAGTATATTTCCAAGGGATCTTCTGGAAACCTCACAGAGATAAGTACTGATGCCATTGAGAATCTCTAAATACCAAGGGTGTGTTGAGTTTTAAGTGCAACTAGAACCTTGCATTACTCCATAGTCACATCTCCTTGAGAAAACCCAGTGAGACAAACAACATTCCTGATGGAATCTAGAGAGTCAGTAGTGATGCCTCCTCTTTCATTCCTAATTTTCGTAATGTATGTCTTCTCATTTTGTTTCTTGGTAAGTCCAACTAAAGGCTTGTCAATATCACTAATCTTTGTAGAAATCCAACTTTTCATTTCATGGCTTTTCTCTATAGTTATCCTGGGTTTTATTTTTATGACATTGATTTTTGCTCAAACCCTTGTTACTTACTTCCTTGCAGTTTATTTGGTTCAATTTGTAGTTTAGTCTTTTTCTTGTTCTTAAGGTAGAAACATAAGTTATTTATTTGATATATTTCCTCTTTTCTCATGTAGCCAGTTAAAACTATAGATTTTCCCTTAGTCATTCTTTAGCTGCTTCCTATTCAATTCTACATGTTTTCTGGTTTCTTTTATTATTTTGTCCCTGATCCATGGGTTCTGTAAAGTATGTTAATTTCCAAATATTAGGCAATTTTACAGTTTTATTTCTGCTTTGATTCCTAATTTAATTTTCCTGTGGTCATATATTCTACATTATTTCAATATTTTTAAAATTGAGTCTAGTTTCATGATTTAGCAAATGATCTATGCTGCAGAGTGTTCAAGGTGTGTTTAAAAACAATTGTGTTCTTCTATTGATTGGAATTATATATATATAAGGTCAAGTTGGTTGATAAGATTGCTCAAGTATGATATAGGCACACTGAATTTCTGGCTAACTGGTATATCAGTTACTAAGAAGAAGGTCTTAAGAGTCTAGTTATTGCCACTTAATTGTCCATTTATCTCTTCAATCATGTCAGTTTTTGCTTTATATAATTTGAGACACTGTGATTAGGTAATTATGTTTATTACACATTCCAGGTTAATTAAAACTTCTATCATTATAGGATATCCTTGTTCATTTATGGTAATATTTTATCTTAAAATCTATATTCTTTGATGTTCTTATATGGAACTGACAATCCAGCTCTCTTCTGGGAATTTTTTACATGATACAGTTTTGCCATTCTTTTATTTTCAAAGTATTTGTGTATTTGGTTGTAAAGTACATCTCTTATAAACAGTGTATAGTAGTCAATATTTTAATAGACTTGCCCAGTTTCTGTTTTTTTTAATTAAATATAATTATCACATGGTTGGATTCTGTCTGCCAATTTCCTATCTGTTATCTAGATCTTACATTTTTTTAGTTCCTCTGTTTATTCAGGGCTGCCTTCTTTTGTATTAGGTAGATATTTTTCTGTTATACAATTTAAGTTCTTTGGTTTTTCTTTTGGTATTTTAAAAATCATTTGCTTAGTACTGGTCCTAGGGATTATAAAATGAAACATAAATTATCACAATCTATTTCATATTAACACCAACTTCATTATATGGCCAGGAAGACTCAACTGAGTCTTGAACTTAGTTTCAGAGAAGTGATTCTATCAATCTTTTTGTCCAGACTTTTTGAGAGATCAACTATTGAAGTCATCATTGATTCAGGCTTGTTTATAAAAGCAACTATGAGCCTTAGATAGGTGACAGGCACTAAACAACAGGATTCCATCACCATTTGAAACAATGACCATGTTATTGAGTCATAGAGACCAGCAAAAACAATCAGTGACCCACCTATGATGGACTACTATAGAAAGACTCTCACTGTCACTACAGCATCATAAATACCTGAAAGAGTATCAGTATTCTCAGGATAAAATATTTACCTTTGCGAGAATTCACACACACCCTTAAACATGGGAGGCAGAATTATTCCCAATACTTTCCTTCAAGTCACATCTCAAGGGGAAGAAATAAACTCTTTCAAATGAAACACAGTTTCTGGTCCACATCAACCTGTGGGAACAGAATAAATATGTGGCAAGATAAGAAGTAAGCCTACCAAGATCAAGCCCAAATAAACCTGAACTCACACCTAAAGGAACTCTAAAAAGAGTAACAAACAAAGCCCAACATTAGAAGAAGGAGGGACATAATAAAGATCAGAGAAGAAATAAATAGAGCAGAATAAAACAATAGAAAAAAATTATTGAAAACAAGATCTGGTGGTTTACAAACAAAATAGATAAGCAAAACAGAAAAACCCCTAGCCAGACTTATCAAGAAAAAAGAGGAAACAAATAAACAAAATCAGAAATGAAAAAGAGAGGTTATAACTGACACCACATCAATTCAAAGAATTATAAAAGAATTGTATGAAAAACATATACAAATAAATTGGACAACCTGAAAGAAAAAGACAAACTCCTAGAAATGTATAACCCTCCAAGACTGACCCAAAAAGACACAGAAAATCCAAACAGACTGATTACCCGTAAAAAAATTTAACTGGTAACTCTATCCCATGCTCATGGATAGGAAGAAGTAATCTTGTCAAAATGGCTATCATGCCCAATGCAATCCCTATCAAAATGCCAGTGGCATTTTTCAATGAACTAGAGCAAATAATCTCAAAATTTGTATGGAAACACAAAATAACTCAGAAAGAATAACAAAACTGGGGTATCAAGGTATACTACAAAAGTACAGTAACCAAAACTGTATGTTACTGGAATAAGAACAGATCCATAGATCAATGCAATAGAACAGAGAGCCCAGAAATAAACCCATACATATATTTTCCATTAATATATGACAAAGGAGCCATGAATGCACAGCGGGGAACAGTCTCTTATGGACTGAGTTAAAGACCCAAATATAGGAAGTGAAACCATTAAACTCTTATAAGAGAACATAGGCAAAAATCTTTTGAACACAAGCATGAGCAATTTTTTCTGGACACATCTCTCACAAGGGAGAGTGTATCAAACTAAAATTTTCTCTACAGTAAATGAGACCATCAAGCAAAACAAAAAGGCAACCTATAGTTTGGGGGAATATATTTGTAAATGAAATATCTGTTAAGGGGTTAACATCCAAAATATATAAAGAACTCATATGCCTCAACACTAAAACCCCCCAAATAACCTCATTAAAAAATGGGCAGAGGACCTGACAGACATTTTTCCAAAGAAGAAATACAGTTGGCCAATAGGCACATGAAAAGATGCTGCACATCATTAGTCACCAGGGAAATGCACATCAAAACCACAGTGAGATATTATCTCACACCAGTCAGAACAGCCACTATCACCCTCCTACACTGTTGGTGGGAATGTAAATTGGTGCAGTCACTGTGGAAAGCAGTATGGAGGTTTCTCAAAAAACTAAAAATAGAAATACCATATGACTCACTAATTCCATATCTCAGAATTTACCCAAAGAAAAAAAATCCATGATTCAAAAAGATATATGTACCTCTATGCTTACTGCAACATCATTTACAATACACAAAACATGGAAGCAACCAGAGTGTCTGTCAATAGATGATGGATAAAGGTGATGTGGTACATATACACTATGGAATATTATTCAGACATTAAAAAAAGAAAGAAATCCTGCCATTTGCAACAACATGGAGGGACTAGAGGGCATTATGCTCAGTGAAATAAGCCAGGTGGACAAAGACATATACCATATGATTTCACTTACATGTGGCACCTAAAAACAAAACAAAGCAAAATGAACAAAACAGCAATAGACTCATAGACACTGAGAAGTGACTGGATGTTACCACCTGGTGGGGTTGGAGTGGGTGGGAGAAATAGGTGAAGGAGATAAAGCAGCACAAAATCTCAATCATAATATAAATTAGTCATGGGGATGAGTACAGCAGAGAGGATATAATCAACAGTTCTGTAAAATATTTCTATGTTGACAGTAATTACACTAGTTAGGGTGAGGATTTAATAATGTATGTAACTGTTAATCACTATATTGTATACATGAAACCATCATAATATTGTGTATCAACTATAGTTCAATTAAAGAAAAGAATTTCATTGGTGTTGTATAGAGCCTGTCAATTCAACAGTATGAGGTCTTCTTTAAGGCATTTGTTCTTTTCCAGAATTTTTTCACTTTCTCAGTTTTCGTGCTGATGCCTCATGCAGAAGAGTAGGCATGGGGATAATGGCAAGGCTGTTCCTCACAGTGTGGCTACAGAAGCTTGTTTCTCCTGAGAAGTGTGTATTTCTCAATACCACTGAGGCCCCAACAGTGTGGCCTGGGGACCATCACCTTGGAAATAGAATGGGAAATACTTCATGGCTCCACGTCCGACTTTTCCTCCATGCACACTCCCAGCCCCTCTAGTCACATGTCCATGGGTGTTGTGCCTCTGTGAGTCCCTCCAGCACTGCTGTGACCATACTGTGTGGAATCAGTGTAACATAACCTTGTGTATCCTTTGCAAGTTGCCAGGATCTTGAGCTCAAGCAGGTTAGGTACTCTGATTTAGAGACGATTGTTCTTTATTCGCCTATCACGGCTTTTTGTGATTTCCTTCTTCCTAAACCATTTGATTATCTTTGAAGGTAAAATGATTCTGAGGTTGAATTTACAGAAATACATATGAATATCTTATGACTAAATTGTTCAGTCAACATTTTCCTGGAACTTCAAGTATACTCAGATAGTCTGATTGCACATTTAAATTTGTCTGACAGAAAACGTTGGATAATATTTGCTCTGTTAGAGACTAAACACTAACACAATTCATATTGTTGGAATAACATCAGAAGCACTCTTAGAGAGTGATAAATAGCTTATTTAATAGGTGGGTCTATTATTGAACCCTACTATCTTGTGCCTGGCATACCAATAGACATGTTTATTTCTAATCTTTCCACAACTTTATTCTCATAGAGTGATAAGGACAAAATTCAGGTGTCATAGGAAAATGTTTATTCCTTCCCATTGAAATATTAAGGAGAGGTCCATCCTCAAAAGCCAGTGGAAATTCTGAGGTTGGTAAGCATTTTTCCCTAACAGGAAGCTGTGGATCACCGACATGGGGGCTGGTATCCACAACTTCATAGGGTGAAAAACTATGTTCCAGAGTGATGAACTCCAGATGGCTGTTTCTTTCACTTTCCGAGGAACACAGTGCCACTATAATACATAGTCTAGTTGAAAAAATCTGAACAAAATGAGTTATACAATTACTTCTGTGAAACTGAGGTCCAGCACAGATACTCACTCTAAAAATATATATATATATGGGGTCTTTAGTGGTTCCATATAATTTTAGGATTATTTCCTCTAGTTCATTGAAAAATGCCACTGGCATTTTGATAGGGACTGCACTGAATCTGTTAATTGCTTTGGGCAGGATGGCCATTTTGACAATATTAATTCTTCCTATCCATGTGCATGGCACAGAGTTCTATTTATTTTGTCTTCTTTATTTCTTTCATTGGTGTCTTATAGTTTTCAGAGTACACATTTTTCACCTCCTTGGTTAGGTTTGTTCCTAGGTCTTTTATTCTTTTTGATACAATTGTAAATGTAATTGTTTTCCTGATTTCTCTTTTTGCTAGTTTGTTGTTAGTATGTAGGAGTGCAACATATTTCTGTATATTGATTTTATATCTGCAACTTTGCTGAATTCAGTTATTAGTTCTAATAGATTTTTGGTGGAGTCTTCAGAGTTTTCTATATACAGTATCAAGTCATTTGCAAATAGTGACAGTTTTACTCCCTCCTTACCAACTTGGATGACTTTTATCTCTTTTTCTTGTCTCATTGCCATGGCTAGGACTTCCAGCACTATGTTGAATAAAAGTGGTGAAAGTGGCATCCTTGTCTCGTTCCTCATCTTAGAGGAAAAGCTTTCAGCTTTTCACCACTGAGTATGGTGTGAGTTTGTCACATATGGGCTTTATTATGTTGAGGTACATACCCTCTATGCCCATTTTGTTGAGAGTTTCTAACATTAATGGATGTTGCATTTTGTCAAATTGAGATCATACGGTTTTTATCTTTCCTTTTTTTAAATTGTGTGCCACATTGATACAAATATTGTACCATCTCTGGAATAAATCCCACTTGGTCACGATAGATGATCCTTTTGATCTATTTTTGAATTTGGCTTGCTAATATTGTGATGAGGATTTTTGCATCTATATTCATCAAGGATATTGGTCTGTAATTTTCTTTTTTTTTAAATTTTCTTTGTCTGGTTTTGGTATTAGAGTGATGCTGGCCTCATAGAATGGGTTTGGAAGCATACCCTCTTCTATTTTTTGGAATACTTTAAGAAGGATGGCATTATCTCTTCTTTGAATGTCTGGTAGAATTTACCTGTGAAGCTTCTTAGTCCTGGAATTTTGTTTTCTGGGAGTTTTCTGATTACCAATTCAATTTTCTTTACTGGTAATCAGTCTGCTCAAATTATTTAGAAAAATAATGAAAGTAACCAAGCAAAAATCTTATAAAAAATTAGATGTCACCTTGAGAATCCAGTATTGTGTTGCTTCTCAGATAAGGGAGCTAATAAAAGAACAAAATTAGCTCTTCTTTGGTGAGGTGGCAAGAATTCCATGCAATTACAGTATTATTTCCAACCTGTAAACCACAGGGGAAATTAAAGGAGATGAGAAAGGAAAACTTCTGAATTGAATAAGATATTATATAGAATTAATTATATACATTCACTGATCACCTATATGATAATAATAATAAAAATACAATTGTTTCATGGAACAGAAGAGTGTAGAAAGATCTGATAAAAGTTTCTCCAATTAACCCTCAGCATCACTCATTAAAACTGGCATCTTCCTTAAGACACTTCCTTAAAAATATTAACCAAAAGAATTAGAAATACAATAATTTTTACAATTAAACATATGTAATGCAGCATATACTTGTGTCCATCATTCAAATGTCTAGAAAATTTCTCACTGGTAACAGGAAGAAAGAACTATACTAATTCCTGTGACTGGCCTAACAAGCCAATTAAAACATACTCAGAAACACTCCCACAGATAGAATCCATTCTTCAATTTCCACATATTTCCTTTATCTAAAATGTAATTGACTAATACTGCAGTAATATTGTATGGCAATAGATGGTAACTACATGTATGGTGAGCATTTCATAATGCACACCAATGTCAAATTACTATGTTGCACACCTATAACTAACAAAATATTTTATATCAAAAGAATAATAATTGATAAGTAAAGACTGATATCTTTTGAACGATCTATTTGAACTAAACACATCCCTTGGGTCTCCCTACTCATGTGCTGGTTCTTTACGGTCTGGTTACCATGAGTGTGCGGATACTGCCAGCCAGCAGTCAAAGAGTTTCCATGGTATCCCTAAATCAGATGTTTATAGACATCTGTACAGTTTATTTCCCTTAATGTATACAGTCAGAGTAGCTTCTAGATACCCCAGTCCTGGCTACAATACTACCTAACCAAGTGAACCCCCTCCACATTGTTACTTAGCACAGTCCCTGTCCTGGACCTCAGCTCACAGAAGTGATTTTGTCACTCATTTTGTTCAGATTCCAACATTTTTTGAAGTCATCATTGATCTAGGCACTTTTGTAGAAGAGACCTCAATCCTGAGCTATGTGGCAAACACTGAACACTCAGGAGTCCATCTCCCTGGGACACACTGACCCACACTATTCTATCATGGAGAACAGCCACTTCAGTCAATGACCAGCCTCATAACTGACTTGCTAGTCAGAATGTCATTATTATAGGAGTGTTACAGTGTCATAAGAAGAATGTCAGTATTTTCAGGACAAAATGCTTACTGATGCAAAATTCCTACAGGCTTTTGAGGATGAAATAGTAGGAATGTTTTCAGTAGTTTCTTTCATGTCAAGAAGAAGGTCTGAACTCTTTCATATGAAACCCAGCCAGTGCTCCATGTCCATCTGTGGAAACAGAGTAAAAATAAGGAAAGATGAGATGTATACATGTCCATTTATCAAACATGCATAAGACAGGAGGGTTTATTAGATATCTTCATATCAATGTGCCCATATTATTTTACTAGGATATTTCTGATGTTATTCAAAGGGAGAAAGCACAAAAGCCTTAGAAGTAAAAGAGACAAAATATTGGATGACTCACCAGGAAATAAATAACTCACATTATTTGGATTAATAGATACTTCACAAAACTAATTAAGCACCTGATTATAGAAAATCTAATAAAAATATCCATAAGAAGAAAATTTATTTAAAACTTGTTATTACTTTTGGAATGCATTGTTTTGCCCCACGCCAGAAAAGGTAACAGGTAGAAGTGAAGTTAGCACTTCTTTGCTATGGGGTGAGTATTCCATGCAATTCCAAAATCACTTCCATTTACAAAGCAAAGAAGAAATTGAAGAAGTTGTGAAACAAAACTTTCCTAAATGAACATTTACTGATATGAGATAATAAGGAATTAACAATAGCTACTCATTTGACTGTCTATATAACTATAAAATTATGCTTGTTCCTTTGAAATGAAAACTCCCACTGGCCCTTGAAAATGGGAGGCAGAATTATTACCAATACTTTGGTTCATTTCGTGTTTCAAGGGGAAGAAATAAAACCTTTTATATGAAACCAAGATCTTGGTCCATGTTGATATGTTAGCAATGAGTAAAATTATTGAAAGAGGAGTATACATATCCGTATGTTATTCACACCCAATATAAGAGGTTTACTATGCATACATATACAAAAATACTATTTCTCTAGTATAATCTTCTGATGTTATTTGAAAGAAAGGAAGCATAAAAATATTGTGAATAAAATACATAGTAGTCTCAGATCAGCCAAGTTATTAAGGTCTCATATTGGATTAACAGACTCTTTTCAAAATCATTTGTAATCTTGTTCGCTAAAAATGAATAATAGAAACAACCCAGGGAAATATATTTATTAAAAGTTACAATATTACCTCTAGACTTCATTATTCTGGTCTTTCCCATAGAAGGAAGCTGGTACAAGTGACAAAATCAGTCGCTCACTGGAGCAATGTATCATCTTGTATCTACAAAATATATTGGGGAATTTGACAAAGGCATCATTATTCAAAGTTTTCTAATAACATGTTATAAGGACTAGGCCTAGTATTTACTTGACTGTACAATAAGAAAGATTATGTTCACTACTTGGAACAAGGTAGCAATGAACATCACATGATCTCTGTCTTGAAGTTTCCCCAAATGTACCCCTCCGCACCAGGCATTTAAACTAAGGTCTCCCTTTCATCACTAACTATGAAACCCACAAACAAAATATGAGTATTAGGCAACAAATTGACCTAGAATACCCAGAATTGGAAATATAATCATTTTATAATTTATAATGTTTAATGATTTCATGACTCAAATGTCCAGAAGGTTCCTCTCTGGGTAACAGAAAAAAATAGAACTGCTTCAATTCTTGGGACTTGAAAGGCAAGGAAATGAAATGTCACTTAAGACATTTGACAAATAAGAACTACTCTTCAATTGCCAGGTTTCTTTTACTTAAGAGATAAATAAGAAAATACTCGTATCTTTAGCTTTGATTACCTAATTGACTTCAATACACTGCTTCTCTGAGGATTTTGGCAGCTAAGAAAAATGTGTGAATGGCTCAAGGGTAGGTATAACCATGTACCACTGGTCTCCCTACTCATGTGCTGGTTCTCCAGGGCCTGGTTACTATGAGGGTGTGGACGTTGCCAGCCAGCACTCAAAGAGTTTCCATGGTATCCCTAAATTAGATGTTTATAGATACCTATACAATTCATTTCCCTTAATGTATACAATCAGAGTAGATTTTAGATACCCCAGTCCTGGCTACAGTACTACCTGACCAGCTGAACCCCCTCCACATTATTACTTAGCATGGTCTCTGTCCTGGACCTCAGCTCACAGAAGTGATTTTGTCACTCATTTTGTTCAGATTCCAACGAGATCCATTTTTGAAGTCATCATCGATCCAGGCACTTTTGCAAAAGGGACCTTGATCCTGAGCTGTGGCAGCCACTGAGCATTCAGGAATCCACTCTACTTAATCATGGAGACCAGCATTATAGACAGTGATTCAGTCCCATGGGGGACTAGGATAACCAGAGCCTCACTGTCAGAGAAATGATATCATATGCTAAGAGTAATCAATGTGCTAAGTCAATATCTTCAACAGAATGCTTACCTATGTGAGAATTACCACTGGCCCTTTCAAATGTATTCGCAGAATTATTCCTGAAATGTACCTTCATTGCTCAAGAAGAGGGAATAAACTCTCTCATATAAACCCAGTTCTTGGTCTACCTCGAACTGCAATAATAGAATAAATACATGCACATGAGAAGTAGTAATGTCCATTTATCAACCAAGAAAAGATGGCAGCATTCATTATTTATCTGAATTGAAGTACATTATTTATTTACTTACATGTTTAAAATATTATTCCAAGCAGAGAAAGAATCGAAATGCTGTAAAAAAGAAGACAGCATGAACAACTCATCAGATTATTAATCCCTCACAGAATTTAGATTAATAGAGCCTTTGAAAAGCCATGTGAATCCCTAACTTCTTTAAAATGATAATAAGAATAAACCTGTAAAAATGTGTTGAAAATTGGGATGTTATCTGTGGAGTAAAATCATTATTATCCTTTACAAAAGAGAAATCTGTTACCAATGACAACACATCACTTCTTTGCTGGTGAGAAATCCACGAAGCCAAATGCACCTTCCACTCAACATCACTTCCAATCCACAAAGTACAAGGAGAAATTAGGGAAGTTGAGAAACAATAATATAATGGAAGGTGAAGTGATAAAAACCTATATGACATTTACTGGATGCTTACTGGTCAAGCTGTATTACCAGAAAAGTTACGCTTACTCCTTGGGACATGATGGTACACAAATTAATTTTTTAAGACATTAGTCTCAAAGTTTCCAAGCATACACACCTCAAAACCACACATAACAACTAGTATCTCTCTTAAACACATTTGAAATACAATGATGGCATATGAAAAAAAGGCACTTAGATACACTGACCCACCCTACTTAGTCAGGAAGACCAGGCACAGCATTCAATTCCCAAGGTTCCAAGGCTGACCAGCATAGCTAGAGAGTTGGTGTTATTGGAATATTGCATCATCCCTAAGAAGAATGTCAGTATTTTCAGGACAAGATGCTTACCAATTTGAAAACCTTAATGAAGGCAATGCCGACTTGTTTTCAATATTCTTTCCCTGCAGTTGGGTCTATCTCCAGATAGTAAATGTGTTCTCAGGAGCACATGAAGCTTAAATATTTTTAAATGAATGTTTACTTAACTTCCTTAGAAACAAACCATGTGGTAAACACTCAGCCTTTCTGAGACACATGAAATGCATTTAAGTTGTCAGCCCCCAAAACCTTTTCCAAATCAAATAAACTTGAAAAAATTTTGACAGATATAAAAAAACCGAAACTCTCTTTCATATGAAACCTAGTACTTGATCCACGATGGCCATGGGAATGAAGTAAAAAGTGGAAAGAAAAGAAGTGTGTCCATTGTTATGCCAAATAGAACACAGCAATGTCCAATTTCATTATACCTTTTGGGAAAAATTTGGCATAGGAAATCAAAACAAGAAGATATATGTGTGTATGCAGGCAGCTAAATATGGGTACAATTCATTAATTTAAAATTCTTTAGTTATGTAAACCTTCCTGGATTTACACTGGATAATCACATTTCTGAAAAACAATGACTAAAAACAGAAATGTGACCTGTGACACCATGGGGTACGTAACTAACACAAATGTGTCATCAGTAAAAGGAATACCTGCAGTGAAAACTGAAGGACTCTTTGCATATACCCTTCCTCACAACAGATTTCATAAAATATGGACATGATATCAGGAAGCATTTACAGAAGAAATGCACTGTCTGAGAAACAAAGACCACCAGAACGTGAGGCTGCTGCCACCAAAGGTGGCTCCTCAGGGAAGGGCAGAAGATGCTCACTTTAATTGACCGCTAGGATTCACAAGCATACTTCTCTCACAGTCAAGGCAAAATTCCTACATCTGAACAAAGAAAATTCTAACAGATTAGAAAATTCCAGTGTCAAAAATTACAGGGTAAAAATCTTATTAGAGAAAGGTCACTCGCCTTGGGCTTGTGCATTGTAATAAAAAAGCCCCTTCAATGCTGTGCTTTCAAAAAATAAGAATCCTAAGTCCATCTAGACCAACGTGTCATGCACTGGTGCACAACTGGAAAACCCACCTATAGATTGGAATGCTAATGCACACATGAATTCAAACACAAGGGCATTAAAGCCATAGATCAAAGTGTCTTTGCAAGTGAGCATAGCCTCAGATTCAAAAGGGGCTAAATTCCAGCAAGGACTAACCCACTGATTCAATAAACACGAGAATCCACGTTGCCTCTTCAATTGAGAATAAGAGAAAAAAGAAATGCCTCATCACAGCACATGCCATGAACCTGATAAGGAAATCTTTTCCCTTTAGGAGACAAAGGAACTAAGAGGTGTCCCTAATGGATTCGATGGAAGCAAAGAGGCCAGCGTAAAGTTGCAAATCATAAGTCATGTGCATCTCACCAACAGGGAACTGAGGAAGTATCTGGCTATCTGAACTCAGAATGTGCACTTCCAAAGAGGATTCCGTGTACACAGGACACACAATTCCCAGTGACTCTTTCTCAAACAAAAGGATAATTTCTACTTTTACACATTTGATGCTGCTAAAAAGGGCAAATAGAAAATGATCACTGATACAATTGTATCACACACAGAATGAGACAACAAAAAGGATGATTGTAAAACTCATAAATTATTTTGTGCAGATTTCTGAGGAATACATAAGAGGGAATCATGATCAATTCAAGCACATTCTGGGACACTGGAAAATATAACAAGACAGACTGGGCAGTTGAGCAGGTCAGCTAGTGAACCCAGACCCTTCCAGCATCCGGGATCATCCCAATGAAGCCACTGAGAGACAGGAACACAAAGTTCACTCTTACGGCCACAGCTGCGAGCCACTGGGCACATGCAGGCAAGCAGCCTTTGTGGCACCTCTACAGAACCCCAGTGCGGATGGCAGAAACAAGGTTAAATGGACACATACCTTTGTGAGCTGGGCCTCGGTTTGCCTGGGACACCTGTGTGCCGCTGGTCCTCACAGGAGAGGAACCGACTTTGCTTCTTTGCCGACAGTGAGCCTCGCATGGCACGTCCACCTGAGAAGTGTTGAGAAACCACATGCATGCTTGAGAAACCTGCCCAGGGTCTCAGGTCACAAGGCATCTGCTTATCCTGTCCCTCTGTCGCCCAGGTAGGATGGAAGGTGTGCATGAGGCCACAAGAGGGGTGGCTGTTCAGGTCTGTGTGTGAGTGTGAGCATAAGAATGCTGGGGTCTCTACCCTTGAAAAAGCATAGGCTCTGCATAGATCCCTGGCCCCCCGCCTTGCCTGCAAAGGCCGGAGACTGGTGCCTTCAAAGAGAAGGATGCCACCTTTGACTTCTAGGGGCTGCCACAATAGGCAGGAATGTGCCTCTGGGAAACTGTTCCTGACCTCTCTGGCCCCTGGGTGAGAAAACGTGCTGGACCTCAGATCCGATGAGAATGACGGTAGGAAGTTCTCACTCATTTTGTTCAGATTTTCCAAGGAATGCATAAGAGGGAATCATCATCAATCCGAGCACGACCTGGGAGGCTGAACCCTTCCCAAGACAGGCTGGATGTCTCAGCAGGCAAGCTGATGGCCTGGGAGACCTGCGGCCACCTGGAGGACCCAGAACCACACCCCTGAGCAACAAGAACTGCCATCCCTCCCTGGAGTGGAACCCCACATTCCACCAGGCTCACAGAAACCAGCAGCTCTTAGGAGTTCCCCAAAGTCCTAATGCAGCCTCTCAACCTCTGGCACAGACAGGAATGCTTACCATCGCGAGACATTGCCGGGGGTGGTTCCCACCCTGGGCAACAACTCTTCGGGGCTGCTGCACACAGATGCTCACCAAAGCAGAGGAAAGTCTTTCTTGGGACTGTGAGACTCACTGGCCAATGCACCTGCCAAGTGAACAAACATCATGTGCTCCATGGGCAAAGGGACCCAGGCAATCAGGGAACCACACCCATGCAGTGTTTTCCCCAGGCAAGACTCTTGTCTGCACATCTGTCCCTTAGGAATGTCTGAATGCGGGTGTGATATCAGGGGTGCGGGCCAGTGTGAGTGTGGGTGTGCACATGAACATGTTCATGTGCTGACATGAAGCATGCCTTGTGCACAGATGCCAGGCCTCATGGTCTACCACCAGCCGCCCCAGGCCAGTGCTCCAAATGGGAGGGTGCCAGCTTTGACCTCTCATGGCTACTGACACAGGCCACAGCACGCCTCTGTCACAGCCACAACTTCCAACCAAAGCACACCGACACCACGCACCACCACTCCCTGACTGTGGATGACCCGTCAACATGGACACTGTGCCCCATGGCCAGTGACAGGGCAGGCGAACCTCACGGAAGCCCAGCGAGCACAGGAACCAGGAATCCACCGACATACAGGCTCATAGCAATGGGAATCAACAAGGGCCTGGGAACAGCCTGTGTCCCTCTCAGGGGGTGAATAGAATGAAGGGCTTGCTCACATTTATGCTGCCTAGGCCTTCCTGCTCTCACTGGGCTATTGGGAAACTTTGAGGCAGAGAGGTGTTCACACACCTAGACCCAGGGAGACATGTGGGGAAAGCAGGGCACCTTCCCTTTAGGGATCTGGCATTCCATCACCAGCTGCTTTGGGGCCCTGAGATGCCCAGAAATGTTCCCCCACTGGGCTCGGTGGACCAAAGAAGCATCCTCAAACATGAAAGGCAGTTTTGTTGCCATGTAGCCTTAACACTAGGCATCCATGGGGGCCAGTGACTGTCAGCAAGTGTGACATTGGAAGAGCAGGTCTCAGGGCTTGCATCCAATGACCCCTCCCTTGGCTCGCTGGCACCACAAACATTCTCACAGGACACAAATCTTCATCCACACCTAAGTGGAAGAAAGACAAAAGACACATGATCTGCACCCAGAGACGTGGACAGTTTCCAAGGTGGGTGTCTGTCCTGGGACGTTTGGGTAGGATGGCTGCCTTTACAGTCTCCACCATGCACATGCCCACACCCACATCCACAGGCTTCCATGGATGTATGCAAATCCCTTCACAAGAGAATGTCAGCCACACAAGCCAGGGAAAATGGACGCTCCTCAAGCAATCCTTTCCATGTGAAATCTGAGTGCCAACGCGGTTGAGCATCAAGACCAAAGTTCAACAGGTGGTTGGCACCAGGCATGTCCAGCTGGTGCTCAAGGGCCAGTGCGTCATTTCGAGCTTCTAAGAGGAGATGCATTGAGAACAACTACTCTGGAATGAAATGTCAAGTGGCCACAGGTCATCAGGCCATTCCCACACACAAGGACCCTAAGCCTTCCCGGGTACACAGCCACAGGCAGACCCATCAGGGTCCAAAGACATGCCAGGAAAGCCTTGAAGTGTGGTGAACACAGCAGGAAAGCTGACTTCCCATGGAAGCACATGCGATCACACCATGACCTCTCCTGTCTGTGCATGTCCCTCTCAGTCCAGGTCATCAGGCTACACAGCCTCCTGACTTCAGCACTAGGTCTGATGCACAGTCCACACAGGGGCACCCAGCACCTAGACTGGGCAAGAAGAGGATGGAAAGGAGGGCAGCTGCCACCAGAAGTGCCACTGCCACATCCATTCCCCATGGCCCCACACCCCAGACCACACTCCCATTTCCCCACTGAGGCAAAAGGGAGAACAGGCATCACTCCTGGAGTGAGTCAAGGCTCTCATCAAAAACTGGTGGGATCTTCTGTCCTTCTGCTCCACACACAGAATGCAGGAGCTGTGTGTGCAGCAAGGCCCTGGCCAGCAGTTCCAAGCCCCAGGTTCATGAGGACTATGCCAATGCACACTTCCTGCAGCCTAGAAATTGGTTTCTAGCTCACCACCACAAGAGCAAGGACTGGCCACCCCACTAAGGTGCAGGGACTCATGGACACCAAAGTAACAACGTGAAGCCCCTGACCCGGATACGCCACTCTCTCCCATGCTGAGCTGCAGGGTGGTGCTTGCATGCGTGTGACCTGGAGGAAGCTGTCCCTGACTCCTCGGGTCCCTGGGAGAGCTAACGTGCTGGACCTCAGTTTCGATGAGAACGACGGTAGAGGGTTCTCACTCATTTTGTTCAGATTTCCAAGGAATGCATTAGAGGGAGTCATCATCGATCCGAGCACATTCTGGGACCCTGGATAATATAACAAGCCCAGCTGGGCGGCTCAGCTGGTCAGCTAGTGAACTCAGACCCCCTCCGGCAGCCTGGATCATCCCAATGAAGCTGCTGAGAGAGATAAACACACAGTCCACTCTTACGGCCAGAGCTGCGTGCCACTGGGCAAGTGCGGGCAAGCAGCCTCCCGGGCACCCCTACCAAATCCTAGTGCCAATGGCAGAGGCTGGAGCAAAGGGACACATACCTTTGTGAGCTGGGCCTTGGTTTGCCTGGGACTCCTGCAAGCAGCTGGTCCTCACAGGAGAGGAAGGACTTCGATTCTGCACCAACATTGAGCCTCGCATGGGATGTTCACCTGAGATTTTTGAGAAACCACATGCATGCTTGAGAAACCTGCCCAGGATCTCAGGTCACAAGATCCGCTGCTGACGGCTGCCCGTGGGAAGACTGGTATCTGCTTATCCTGTCCCTCTGTCCCTCAGGTAGGAGAGAAGGTGTGCATGAGGCCACGAGAGGAGGTCGCTGTCAGGTCTGTATGAGCGTGAGTGTGAGCGTGAGAGTGTGGGGGCCTCTACCCTTGAAAAACGAAAGCTATGCACAGATCCCTGGCCCCTCACCTTGCACACACAGGCCAGAGATTGGTGCCTTCAAAGAGAAGGATGCCACCTTTGACCTCTAGGGGTGGCTGCAATAGGCCACAGACTCCCTCTCGCATGCGCACCTTCTCACACGAGCACATGGACTCTACACTACATGCTTTACTTGGGCTACGTGTGTGATGTCAGTGTGGACACTGGGTCCCTGCAGGCTGTCTCTCTCACACACACACACACATACACACACACAGCTCACTCAGGTGAGCTGCACTGGAAGAACAGCCGGTGACCACAGGAACAAGGACATCCCTGACATACAGGCTGGGACCACTGAGGGAATGGCTCCTGGCCTGAGAGAGCCCAGCTGCATCTTCAGGGCCCCAAGGGGGTGCAGGTCAGGTGCTCGCTCATGATCACTAAGCCACGAGGCCCTCAAGCAAGATGGGAGGGCAGCCGGCTGAGGGTGGTCTTCGCCCGCCATGACCCGGGGAACAGCTCCAATGAACCTAGGACCCTTTCCTCTCAGGGCACATGGCATGTCTACACCCAGCAGTTTTGGGTTCCCGGACCTCGTAGGAAACATTCAGACACTCGGTTGTCTTGTCCAGTGGAGCATCCCAGTGCCCTGCAAGGCCGCGGCCCCGACTCCTCGCATCCAACTCCACCCACACGCAGTGGGGGAGGGGAGCAGAGGGAATCGGGACAGAAGGCTCAGTGGAGCTTGACTTCTCTTTGGGCCGCACCCTCGGGATTCAAATGACAACCCCGTCTTGCACATGGGTACCTACAGCAAACCCCTCACAGCCATCATCCATGAAGACCAGCGGGAGAAGGGAAATTCAGTCGATATTCTGAACCAGGAGACGCTGACATCTACCATGCTAGAGAGACAGATGTCTGTCCGTGGCAGGGCGCTGGGGGCTTCGGCACTCCGGGTCTCTCCCACGCCCATGAATTTCTGTGAGTGAGCACAAGCAGTCTGAGAGGATGGCTGTCCCCTGTGCCAGGAAACACAGGCTTTCCTTCATTAAGGCTTTGGCCAGGACACACCAAGACCCAGGGGGTCACACGGTCACATGGAATGCTCACCAAACCCACAGGACCTGGGGAGGCCAGCTGCCACTCATCGCCAGTGGCCTCTTCCACCCACTTCATGGAGAGCACTCGAGCACTTTGGCTCTAGAATGGACGGGGCACGGGAACCAGTGTCAATTAGAGTCGTGCCCTACACGTGGGCCCTAAGCCTTCAGTGGTAGGAAGCAAATGGCAGGCACGTCAGGGTCCAGACCACATGCTCTGACAGGGGATGCCTCAAAAGCACATGGCAGTTCCCATGGAAGCACATGTGACCCCATCATAACATGCCGTCCCTGGGCTCTTCCAGCCCCATCAAGGCCGTCAGGTACCACAGCGCCTTGACCTCAGTGCCAGGGATATCTGCACAGTGCAGGGCCGGCCACCATACGAGTGGGCTGGGTGAGCATGGAAAACAGAACAGCCAGCACATGGAGCATGCCGGGGCCCAGGATGCCCCTGGCCTCCAACCTCCCACCCACAAGTCTGCCAGCTCTCCTCCTGGGGACCTGGGGCAAGGACAGGCCTCGTGCTCTGCCTCCCCTGGCATAGAACGCTCCTGTCAGAAACCACGGAAACTTCTGCTCTTCAGCACGAATACTCGGACCTCCAGGGGCTACGCGGTAAGTGGGATGCCACCCCACACAGATCCATGCCATAGTCTTCCTGAGCCTAGGCCAACGCCGCCATCTCTGACTCCCTGGACACTGATGCAAACTGGCCTCCAGGCCATCACAGCCTGGACGTCCGGGGAATGGACACCCAGCTAAGGTAGTAACACTAACGGCCCTACAACGGGAGGCTCTCCCAGGTTCCTTCCCTGGTTGTGGTGCACGAGTGTGGCCTCAGGGAAACTGTCCCTGACCTCTCTGGCCCCTGGGTGAGCAAACATGCTGGACTCTCAGATTCGATGGGAATGACAGAAGGGAGTTCTAACTCACTTTGTTTAGATTTTCCAAGGAATGCATTATGAGGGAGTCTCATTGATCCGAGCACAACCTGGGATGCAAGGAAGTGTATCAAAGCAGGCTGGAAGGCAGTGTGGGCCCGGCAATCCTCCCCCCGGTCCTCCAGCAGCCTGGGCAATGCAGACGCTCGCTACTGATCAAGAGGAGCTGTCAGACCACTCTGGAGGCAGAACTGCGCACATTGTGGCACATGTGCACACGAGTAGCATCTAAGGCGGCTCTGTGACATCCAAGAGTGCGTGGCAGTTCTTGGGGCCAGGGGATGCTTACTGCCTTGGGTGATCCACAGCCTTGGGGTACACCCTGGGCATGCTGCGTCCTGACACCCACATGCCTCTGGCCATGCTGAACAATGTTTGCCTTCCCTTTGCCCATGGCAGCCATCATGGCAAGTCCACCTGAGAACTGCAGAGAAATCACCTGTCAGCTGGAAAGACGTATGCGGGTTCTCAGGTAACAAGACCCATGCTAACGTTTCCCCAGGATGGACACTTGCCTCTGTTTGCCCTGTACAGCTGCCTTGGGATCACTGAATTCAGCCTGGAAGGATAGCAAGACAGTGTGTGGGGGTGTGCACGCATTTCTGGGTGGGCGGGTGGGTGGTCACAGGAGGAGCCCAGAGAACCTGAGAGCATAAGCCCTGCGTGCAGATCCCTATCCTCATGCCCTGACACCCAAGGGCAGAAGACCAAGCTGTGCCTTTGTGGGAACAATGCTGGGGTTCACATTTAGGGGCTGCTCTAATGAGCCATGTGTTCCCTCTCTCAAAGCCACTCCTAACCAAACCAAAGCCACGCTAGGTACAGCGTCTTCCTGCATGGCACCCTGATGGTGGATCTGAAGCCAATCAAGATTCTGTGTGTCCCTGCCAGATGTCCTAAGTGAACTGCACTTGAGGCTGAGACAATGCCCAATGCAGTGACGCAACCATGGGCATCAGAGCTGGCACCCCTGGCAACCTGCAACTGGGCAGAAGCAGCCCATCCCTTCTGAAGGGGCCAAGTGACTTTAGGACAGGTGCCCATGTACCCTACCAGAGAGCACACCTAGTCCTGAGAGGAAAGGCAGGAAAGCAACAGGTGGACTGGAGCCACCCTGACTATCTATAAGCCGATTCTTCCAAGGGCATGTTCCCATGTGGGGATCTGGCATTTCTAACCCTGCTATGTTTCAGGCTGCTGACATCCATGGCAACACGCACATAACTGGCTGCCTCTCACAAACTTCCTCTCTCACATCCCATGAGAATCTTCACCAAGAAGTGGCCTCAAAGGGTCAGCACACAAGGAGGGTCAAGGGCATCAGGGAGGATGGCCATTATGGATCGGGTGGCTGCGTGAGCCCAGTGCACAGGATTCAACAAGGCACCATGACGTGGTGACAACACTGACCACCTCCAGGAGCACAAACACCTCACCCAAGATGACTAAGGGGAGCCGACCCAGTGAACACATCTACGGCACAAGGAGATGAGACTTCGACCTCAGGAGAAATCTGTCCACACCGTGCTTCTGAGATTCCAGCACTCACAGCGTCTGGCTTGCACAAAGGCACCCACTCATGACCCTATGCCACACTGAGCAGCCACCAATGCCAGGAGAGGCTGAACCTCCTGGAATCACACCTTCACCTGGGAAGCTTTTTTTCCCATGGTTGCAAAGGCCCAAAGGGCCTGTTCCTCTAAGTCCTCTGGATCAGGATGGCACAGTGGCTGGCTGTTTGAGGCCCTAAGCAAGAGGACTGTTTGTCCACCACTAGCCTGGAATAGAGACATTGCGTGAGCAGTGCTCATTTCCCATAAGGCCACACAAATGCACCCTGCATGGCCCCATCTGGCAGCCCCAACAGGGCCCAGACACATCTCTCAGAAGCCGAGGACTACACCGCGTTCAATCCAGACTGTGCATGCTATGAAAGCCCATGCAAAGACACTGCAACCTACCCTCTCCATGTGTTGCCTCCACGCTCTTCCCTTTGTGCCCAGGATGGCAGCTACTATAGGCTGCGGGTAGTGGCACCAGTTTGGGGATGCAGTCCATATTTGCCCAGCTAGTACTGGCATTTGGTGGCCAGGCGAAACATGGGAGCTCTATATGCTGCAGCCCTGCCAACTAATGTGTCTGTTCTCTACCACCAAACCCAGGGGCCGCTCACATTTCCTCACCAGGACAATAGCCAAGGACAGGGATTGCTGTGCCCAGCCAGAGGCTCTAATCAGAAGCCATTGGAAGCTTCTGCCCTTCAGTGCCTACATAGCCATCCAAGGAGTGCATTTAAAAGAGCAACCAGGCCAACACACATCCATGCCATGAGCTCTCTGGGACTCTGCCAAGGCCACACTAACTGACTCCTGGATCTAAGGTGTGAGCTGGCCACAGTGCCCCCAACATGGAGCACTTCAACCAAGACACCACCCTGGGGCCCAAGAACACCAAACTGATGCATCCACATTACTGGCCCAAAGAAGGGAGGCTCCCCAATGCTGATGCGCTAGGTTGGCATCTGCACACCTGTAGCCATGGGGAAGCCATCCCTCTCTCCTGCTTGCCCTGGGTGAGACAAAGTGCTGGACCTCAGATCCAATGAGAATGACGGTAGGGAGTTCTCACTCATTTTGTTCAGATTTTCCAAGGAATGCATAAGAGGGAGTCATCATCGATCCAAGAACTTTCTGGGATGCTGGAGCCTTTGCAAGGCAGGCTGGGCATCTCAACAGGCTAGCCAATGGCTCGGAAGACCTACAGAAGCCTGAAGGACCCAGAAACATGCCCCTGAGCAAGAACAACCACCATCCATCCCTGGAGTGGAATCCCACATTTCACTGGTTTCACGGGAAAAAGCGCCTCTTAGGCAGTACCCTGAATCCTAATGCAACCTCTCAATCTTGGGGCACAGAGGTGAATACTTACCATCATGAGATATTGCCGGGGGTGGTTCCCATTCTGGGTGACAACTCTTTGGGGCTGCTGCACACAGATGCTTACTGAAGTAGAGGAAGGTCTTCTTTCTTTGTGACTGCAAGACTCACTGGCCAATGCACCTGCCAAGTGAACAAACATCACGTGCTCCATGGGCAAAGGGACCCAGGTCATCAGGAACCACACCCATGCAGGGTTTCCCCTGGGTGAGACTCCTGTCTGTACATCTGTCCTGTAGGAATGTCTGAAGGTGGGTGTGACATCATGGGTATGGGCCAGTGGGAGCATGTGTGCGAGCATGAGGATGTTCTTGTGCTGACAGGAGGCAGCCCTGTGCACAGATGCCAGGTCTCATAGTCTGCCACAAGCTGCCACAGACCAGTGCTCTAAATGGGAGGATGTTACCTTTGAAATCTTGTGGATACTGACACAGGCCATGGCACACCTCTGTCACAGCCACACCTTCCGACCAAAGCACACTGACAACATGCACCACCACTCCCTGACTGTGGATGACAGTTCAACGTGGACACTGATCCCTCTGTCCTGTCACAGGGCAGGTGAACCTCATGGAAACCAGAGAGCACAGGAACCAAGAATTCACTGACATACAGGGTCATAACACTGGGCATCAACAAGAGCCCGGGAACAGGCTGTGTACCTCACAGAGGGCCAATAGACTGAAGGCTGTGCTCACACTCATGCTGAACAGGGCTTCTTGCCCTCATTGGGCCAGTGGGAAACCTGGAAAAGGGGGGAGGTGTTCACACTCTTAGACCCAGGGAGACATGCAGGGAGAGCAGGGCATCTTCCCTTCAGGGATCTGGCTTTCCTTAAGCCAGCCACTTTGCAGCCCAGGAATGCAAAGAAATGTTCCCCTACTGGGGTCCATGGACCAAAGCAGCATCCCCATGCATGGAAGGCAAGTCTTCCTCCACGTAGCCTCAACACTAGGCATCCATGGGGGCCAGTGACTGTCAGGAGGCACTGCCATCACCAAATGCAATACTGCAAGGGTCTGCCATGGGTCATGTGTCTAACGACCCCTCCCTCAGCCCACTACCACCACAATCTCACAAGTCACAATGCTTCATCCACACCTAAGTGGAAGAACAAGACAAGATAAATCACCCATGTCCAGAGATGTGGACAGTTTCCAATTTTCTAAGGTGGGTGTCTGTCCACGGCAGTGAGCCTTCTACAGCGGCCTTCACAGTTTTCACCACAGCCACAGGTTTCCATGGATGCATGCAAACCCCTCCACGAGAGAACATCAGACACATGAGCCAGGGAAAATGGATGCTCCTTGAGCTATGCTTTCCACGTGAAATCATGAAATCTGAGTGCCAATGTGGGTGAGTGTCAAGACCAAAGTTCAACTGGTGGTCAGCACCAGCCATGTCCAGCTGGTGCTCGAGGGCCAGTACACTGTTTAGAGACACTAAGAAGAGGTGTGTTGAATACCACTACTCTGGAATGAAATGTCAAGTGACCACAGGTCATCAGCCCATTGTCACACACAGGGACCCTAAGCCTTCCCTGGTATACAGCCACAGGCAGTTCAGGTTCCATAGACATGCCAGGAAAGCCTCAAAGAGTGGTGGACACAACAGGAGAGCTTACATCCCATGGAAGCACATGCAATCACACCGTGACCTCCCCTGTCTGTGCACATCCCTCCCAGTTGAGATTACCAGGCTAAACAGTCTGACTTCAGTGCTGTGTCCGCCTGGGAACCCGGCCCCTAAACTGGGCAAGCAGGGGACAGAAGGAGGGCAGCTGCCACCGGAAGTGCCATTGCCATGTTCATTGCCCATGGCTCCACACCCCACAGCACACTACCATTTCCCCACGGAGGCAAAGGGGAGCTCAGGTATCACTCCTGGAGTGAGCCAGGGATCTCATCAGAACCAGTGGAAGCTTCTGTCCTTCTGCTCCCACACAAAAACCGCAGGGGCTGTGTGTGCAGCAGGGCCCTGGCCAGCAGTTCCAAGCCCTGGGCTCATGAGGACTATGCCAGTGCACGCTCCCTGCAGCCTAGAAATCTGTTTCTGGCTGGCCTCCTCACCAGCAAGGACAGGCCACTCCACCAAGGTCCATGGACACATGGACACCAAACTAACAACATGAAACCCCTGACCCGGATATGCAACTCTGGCCCATGCTGAACCGCAGGTTGACGCTTGCACGAGTGTGACCTGGAGGAAGCTGTCCCTGACTCCTCAGGTCCCTGGGAGAGCTAACGTGCCAGACCTCAGATCCGATGAGAACGATGGTAGATGGTTCTCACTCATTTTGTTCAGATTTCTAAGGGGCATTATGAGGGAGTCTCATCGATCCGATCACAATCTGGTAGGCAAGGAAGTGCGTCAGGGCAGGCTGGGAGGCAGTGTGGGCCCCCCAATCACCTTCCGGTCCTCCAGCAGCCTATGCAGTGCTAATCAGGAGGAGCTGTTTCCACTCTGGAAGCAGCACTGGGCATATCGTGGTGCACGTGCACATGAGCAGCCTCCAAGGCGGCTCTGATGCCCAAGGGTGCGTGGCAGTTCTTGGGGCCGGGGGACACTTACCGCCTTGGGTGATACTCAGCTGTGGGGCACACCCAGGGCCATGCTGTATCACGACATCCACATGACTCTGACCAGGTTGGACAAAACATTGGCCTTTCCTTTGCCCGTGGCGGCCATAACTGCAAGTCCACCTGAGAAGTGTAGAGAAATAGCTTATCAGCTGGGAAGACATACACAGGTTCTCAAGTAACAGGATCCATGCCAAAGTTTACCAGGACATGTGCCTCTGCTTGCCCTGTACAGCTGAACCTTGGGGTGACCTTGGACTAGAGGGATACCAAGGCACTGAGTGGGTGGGGTGGGCACGCGTGTGTGGCTGTGTGGGTAGGTGGTCATGGGAGGAGCCCAGAGAACCTGAGAAAGCAAGCTCTGTGTGCAGATCCCTATCCTCATACCCTGCCAACCAAGAGCAGAAGACCAACCTGTGCCTTTGGGGGAAGAAGGCCAAGGTTTACCTCTGGTCCTGCTCTAATAAGCCACGCATTCCCTCTCTCAAAAACACTCCTGAACAAAGCACAGCCACGCTAGGTACAGCCTCTTCTCCATGGTGGATCTAAAGCCAACTAAGACAATGTATGTCCCTTCCAGATGTCCCAGGTGAACTGCACTTCAGGCAGAAACAGTGCCTACCACAGCAACGCAACCATGAGAATCACAGCTGGCACCTCTGGGAACCTGCAACTGCACAGAAGCAGCCCGTCTCTTCTGAAGGGGTCGAGTGACTTCCAGCTAGTTGCCCATGTACACTACCAGAGCTAACACGCGTGGCCCTCAGAGGGCAGGCAGGACATCCAACAGGAATGGGTGGACTGGAGCCACCCTAAAAGGCTACAACCCAATTCTCCCAAGGGCACATTCCCATGTGGCGACCTGGCATTTCTACCCCTGCTGTGTTTCAGGATGCAGACCTCCGTGGCAATGCCCACACAACTGGCTGCCTCAAGAAAACTCACACCCTCACATCCACAAAGCAACTTCCCCCAGAAGTGGCCTCAAAAGCTCAGAGCACAAGGAGCGCCAAGGGCATCCAGGAAGATGGCCATTACGGATCGGGAAGCTGCATGAGCCCAGTGCCCGGGTTTCAACATGGCACCCCTCCCATGATGTGGTGATAACACCAACGACCTCTAGGATCACAAACACTTCACCCAGGATGACTAGGGGGAGATGACCTAGAGATCACATCCACAGCACAAGATGAGATTTTGTCTTCATGAGGCGTCTGTCCACACTGTGCTTCTGAGACTGCAGCACTCACACTCACAGTGTCTGGCCTGCCCAAAGGTGTCCACTCACAAACCTATGCCACACAGAGAAGCCACCAGTGCTAGGAGAGGCCCACTCTCCTGGAGTTATACCTTCACCTGGGAAACTCTCATCCCCTGGGCACAAAGGTACAAAGGGCCTGCACCCCTAAGCCCTCTAGATTGGGGTGGAAGGGTGCCTGGTGGGCAGCAATGGGCCAGTATATCTCTTTGAGGCCCTAGAAAGGGGACCATTTGTCCACCACTAGCCTGGAATAGAGACACCAAGTGAGCAGTGCTCATTTCCCGTAAGGCCACACACATGCACCCTGGGTGGCACCATCTGGCAGCCCCAACAGGGCCCAGACACATTCTTGGGATGCTGAGGACTGTGCTGGGTTCAATCCAGACTGTGCATTCCATGAAAGCCCGTGCAATCATAATGCAACCCATCCTCTCCATGTGTGCCCTTCACACTCTGAATTTCATGCCCAGGCTGGCAGCTGCTACAGCCTGAGAGCTGCAGTGCTAGGTTTGGGCCACAGTCCATGTTTGCCTAGCTGGCATCAGTGTTTGGTGGCTAGGTGAAATATGGGAGCTCTATCCCCAGCAGCCCTGCCACCAAATGTGTCTATTCTCTGCCTATACAAGTGCTGTTCACATTTCCTTGCATGGACAATAGCCAAGGACAGGGATTGCTCAGTGCCCGGCCAGGGGCTCTGATCAGAAGCCATTGAAAGATTCTGCCCCTCAGCCACCCAGGGTGTGCATTTTAAAGAGCAACCCGGCCAACACTCACCGATGCCATGAGCTCTCTGGGACTCTGCCAAGGCCACACTAACTGACTCCTGGCTCTGAGGTGTGAGCTGCCCGAAGTGCCCTCCAACGTGGACCAGTTTCACAAAGGCTCCACCCTGGGGCCCATGAACACCCAACTGATGAAGCAACACCACTGGTGCAAAGAAGGCAGGCTCCCCAAAGCTGATGCACTAGGTGGGCATCTGCACCCCTGTGACTGCGGGAATGCCATCCCTCTCTCCTGCTTGCCCTGGGTGAGACGCAGTGCTGGACCTCAGATCCGATGAGAATGACGGTAGGGAGTTCTCACTCATTTTGTTCAGATTTTCCAAGGAATGCATTGTGAGGGAGTCATCATCAATCCGAGCACTTTCTGAGATGCTGGAGCCTTTGCAAGGCAGGCTGGGTATCTCAGCAGGCTAGCTGATGGCCTGGAAGACCTACAGAAGCCTGTAGAACCCAGAAACATGCCCCTAAGCAAGAAGATCTGCCGTCCATCCTTGGAGTGGAACCCTGCACTCCACTGCACTCACGGGAAATAGCAGCTCTTAGGCAGTACCCCAAATCCTAATGCAATCTCAATCTTCTGGCACAGAGGTGAATGCTTACCATCGCGAGACATTGATGGGGGTGGTTTCCACCCTGGGTGACAACTCTTTGGTGCTGCTGCTCACGGACGCACACCGAAGCAGAGGAAGGTCTTCTTCCCTTGTGACAGCGAGCCTCACTTGGCCAATGCGCCTGCCAAGTGAACAAATATCACGTGCTCCATGGGCAGGGACCCAGGTCATCAGAGAACCCCACTCATGCAGCGTTTCCCCTGGGTGAGACTCCCATCTGCACATCTGTCCCTTAGGAATGTCTGAAGGAAGGTGTGATGTCATGTGCGTGGGCCAGAGTGAGCATGTGCACACACGTGTGTATGTTCATGTGCCGACAGAAAGCATGCCCTGTGCAGATGACAGACCTCACAGTCTGCCACAAGAAGCCACAGGCCAATACTCTTAACATGAGGTTGCCACCGTTGACCTCTCATGTCTATTGACCCAGGCCATGGCACACCTCTGTCACAGCCACAACTTCTGACCAAAGCACACCGACACCATGCACCACAATTCCCTGACTGTGGATGACCAGTCGATGTGGACACTGTGCCCCATGGCCTGTCACAGGGCAGGCGAACCTCATGGAAGCCCAGAGAGCCCAGGAACCAGGAATCCACTGACATACAGGCTTGCAGCAGTGAGAAAACACAAGGCCCCGGAAACAGCCCATGGCCTTCTTGCGGTGCCAACAGATCAAAGGACATGCTTAGGCTCATGCTGACCAGGCCTTCCCACCATGACTGGGCCAGTGGGATCTCTGGAAGTGGGGGGAGGTGTTCATGCACCTAGACCCAGGGAGACAGGCAGTGAAAGCAGGGCACCTTCCCTTTAGGGATCTGGCATTCCTTCAGCCAGCTTTTTGGGGCCCTGACATGCCAACAGATGTTCCCCCACTGGGCTCCATGGACCAAAGCAGCATCCCATACATGTAAGACAAGTCTACCACCATGTACCCTCAACACTAGGTATCTATGGGGGTCAGTGACTGTCAGGAGGCACTGCCATCACCAAGTGTGACTTTTCAAGTCAGCCTTGGGGCATGTGTCCAATGACCCCTTCCTTGGCTCACTAGCACCACAAACTATTTCACAGGACACAAATGTTTCAACCACACTTGGAGCAAAAGAATGAGATGAGATACATAACCCACGTCCAGAGATGTGGATAGTGTCTAAGGGGGGTGTCTGTTCACCAAAGTGAGCCTGGATGGCGGCCTTCACAGTATATGCCACAGCCAAGCCCAGACCACAGGCTTTCACGCATGCATGCAAACTCCTCCGCAAGAGAACATCAGCCACACCACACGAGCCAGGGAAAACAGACACTCCTCAAGCAATACTTTCATGCAAAATCTGAGTGCCAACGTGGTTGAGCATCAAGACCAAAGTTCAACCAGTGGTCAGCACCAGGCATGTTCCACTGGTGCTTGAGGGCCAGTGCACTGTTCTGAGTCACTAAGAAGAGATCCGCTGAGTACCACTACTATGGAATGAAATGCCAAGTGACAAGAGGTCATCTGCCCATTGAACCACACACAGGGACCATAAGCTTCCCTGGTAAACAGCCACAGGCAGGCCCGTCAGGGTGCACAGACATGCTGGGAATGCCTCACAGAGTGGTCAGTGCAACAGGAGAGCTGACTACCCACAGGAGTGCATACGATCACACTGTGACTTCTCCTGTCCACTGCACAGGACATCCAGCCCCTGGACTGGGCAAGGAGAGGACAGAAGGAGGGCAGCTGCCACCAGAAGCACCACCACCACATCCATTCCCCACAACCCCACACTCCAAAGCATGCTCCCATTTCCCCACTGAGGCACAAGAGAAGAGGGATTGTTCCTAGAATGAGCACGGGCTCTCATCAGAAACTGTTGGAAGCCTCTGTCCTTCTCTTCCCACACACAGAACACAGGGGCTATGTGTGCAGCAGGGCCCTGGCCAGCAGTTCAAGGCCCAGGCTCATGAGGGCTATGCCAATGCATGCTCCCTGCAGCCTAGAAATCAGAAGTGAGCTGGCTGCCATGCCAGCAAGGACTGGCCACTGTACCAAGGTCCATGGACACATGGAAACCAAACAAACAACGTGAAGCCCCTGACCAGGAGCCGCCACTCTCTCCCATGCTGAGGTGCAGGGTGGTGCTTGCATGCGTGTGACCTGTAGGAAGCTGTCCCTGACTCCTCGGGTCCCTGGGAGAGCTAACGTGCTGGACCTCAGTTTCGATGAGAACAACAGTAGAGGGTTCTCACTCATTTTGTTCAGATTTCCAAGGAATGCATTAGAGGGAGTCATCATCGATCCAAGCACATTCTTGGACTCTGGATAATATAACAAGCCTGGCTGGGCAGCTCAGCTGGTCTGCTGTGAACTCAGACCCCCTCTGACAGCCTGGATCATCCCAACGAAGCCACTGAGAGAGGAACACACAGACCACTCTTATGGTCACAGTCATGTGATACAGGTCACATGTGGGCAAGCAGCCTCCCGGGTACCTCTACCAAATCCTAGAGCCAACAGCAGAAGCTGGGGCAAAGGGACACATACCTTCGTGAGCTGGGCTTCGGTTTTCCTGGGAATCCCATGTGCTGCTGGTCCTCACAGGAGAGAAAGGACTTCGCTTCTTTGCCAACGGTGAGCCTCGCAATGGCATGTCCACCTGAGAAGTGTTGAGAAACCACATGCATGCTTGAGAAACCTGCCCAGGATCTCAGGTCACAAGATTCATTGCTGACGGGTGCCCATGGGAAGACTAGCATCTGCTTATCCTGTCCCTCTGTCCCTCAGGTAGGACAGAAGTTGTGCATGAGGCTATGAGAGGAGGTGGCTGTTAAGGTCTGTGTGTGAGTGTGAGCATAAGCATGAGAATATGGGGACCTCCACCCTTGAAAAACTGTAGGATATGTATAGATCCCTGGCCACTCACCTTACCCGCAAAGGCCAGAGACTGGTGACTTCAAAGAGAAGGATGCCACCTTTGACCTCTAGGGGCTGCCACAATAGGCGGCAGACTCCCTCTCTTACATGCACTTTCTCACACAAGCATGTGGACTTTACTACACACTTTACATGGGCAGTGCCTGTGATGTCAGCATGGACATTGGGTCCCTGCAGGCTGTCACACACACACACACACACACACACACACACACACACACGTGAGCTGCACTGGAAGAACAGCTGGTGACCACAGGAGCAAGGTCGTCCCCGACATACAGGCTGGGACCACTGGGAATGGTTCCTTCTTCAGGGCCCCAAGGGGGTGCAGGTCAGGCACTCGCTCATGCTCATTAAGCCACTAGACCCTCAAGAAAGATGGGAGGGCAGCTGGCTGGGGGTGGTCTTCGCCTGCCATGACCCAGGGAACAAATCCAATGAAACTAGGACCCTTTCCTCTCCAGGCACATGGCATGTCTATACCCAGCGACTTTGTGTTCCCTGACCTCCTAGGAAACATTCAGACACTCGGTTGCCTTGTCCAGAGGAGCATCCCAGTGCCCTGACAGGCCACAGCCCCAACTCCTGCCATGCAACTCCACCCACACGCAGCAGGGGAGGGGAGCAGAGGGAATCGGGATGGAAGGCTCAGTGGAGCTCGACTTCTCTTTGGGCCGCACTCTCAGGATTCAAGTGAGGACTCCGCCTTGCACATAGGTACCTACAGCAAACCCTTCACAGCCATCATCCATGAAGACCAGCGGGAGAAGGGAAATTCTGTCCATATTCTGAACCAGGAGATACCGACATCTACCATGCCAGACAGACAGACGTCTGTCCGTGGCAGGGCGCCGGGGGCTTCAGCACTCTGGGTCTCTCCCACACCCATGAGTTTCTGTGAGTCAGCACAAGCACTCTGAGAGGATGGCTGTCCCCTGTGCCAGGAAACACAGGCTCTCCTTCATTAAGGCTTTGGCCAGGACACACCAAGACCCAGGGGATCACACGGTCACACGGAATGCTCGCCAAACCCACAGACCTGGGGAGGCCAGCTGCCACTCATCGCCAGTGGCCTCTTCCACCCACTTCATGGAGAGCACTCGAGCACTTTGGCTCTAGAATGGACGGGGCACGGGAACCAGTGTCAACTACAGCCGTGCCCTACACGTGGACCCTAGGCCTTCAGTGGTAGGAAGCAAATGGCAGACACATCAGGGTCCAGACCACATGCTCTGACAGGGGGTGCCTCAAAACCACATGGCAGTTCCCATGGAAGCACATGTAACCCCATCATAACATGCCCTCCCTGGGCTCTTCCAGCCCCATCGAGGCCGTCAGCCACCACAGTGCCTTGACCTCAGTGCCAGGGATATCTGCACAGTGCAGGGCCGGCCACCATATGAGTGGGCTGGGCAAGCATGGGAAACAGAACAGCCAGCACATGGAGTACGCTGGGGCCCAGGATGCTCTTGGCCTCCAACCTCCCACCCACGGGTCTGCCAGCTCTCCTCCTCGGGACCTGGGGCAAGGACAGGCCTCAAGCTCTGCCTTGCCTCACATTGAAGACTCCTGTCAGAAACCACGGAAACTTCTGCTCTTCAGCATGAATACTCGGACCTCCAGGGGCTACACAGAAAGCAGGATGCCACCCCACACAGATCCATGCCATCGTCTTCCTGGGCCTAGGCCAACGCCGCCATCTCTGACACCTGGGACAGGGAAGCAAACTGACCTCCAGGCCATCACAGCCTGGCCAGTGAACTGACGACTTCTGGGGGATGGACTCTCAACTCATGTAGTGAAAATACCAGCCCTACAATGGGAGGCTCTCCTAGGCTTGTTCCCTGGGTTGGGGGTGTATGGGTGAAACTGTCCCCGAACTCTCTGGCACCTGGATGAAGAAATGTGCTGGTCCTCCAATCTGATGGGAATGATGGTAAGGTGTTCTCACTCATTTTGTTCAGATTTTCCAAGGAATGCATTATGGGGGAGTCATCATCGATCTGAGCACTTTCTAGGATGCAAGAAAGTGTTTCAAGGCCACCTGGGAGGCAGTGTGAGCACGCCAATCCCCTCGTGGTCTTCCAGCAGCCAGGGCTACACCGTGGCTGGCTACTGATAAAGAGGAGCTGTCAAACCACTCTGGAAGCAACACCTTGCACACCATGGCACACATGCAATGAATAGTGTGTAAGGCAGCTCTGTGACATCCAAGAGTGCATGGCCATTCTTGGGGCCAGAGGATGCTTACGGCCTTCAGAAAGCCACAGCCATGGGGTGCACCCAGGGCAAGGTGCATCCTGACACCCATGACCTCTGGCCATGCTGGACAAAACATTGGCCTTTCCTTTGCCCATGGTGTCCAAAAGGTCATATCCACCTGAGAAGTATAGAGAAATTGCCTGAAGCTGGAAAGACATACACAGGTTCTCAGGTAACAAGATCCATGCCAACGTTTCCCCAGGGTGGGCACTTGCCTCTGCTTGCCCTGTACAGCTGAACCTTGGGGTGACTTTGGCCTGGATGGATACCAAGGCAGTGTGGGCGGGGGATGTGCACATATGCATGGGTGGTCACACAAGGAGCCCAGAGACCTGAGAAAGCAAGCCCTGTGTGCCGATCCCTAAACTCATGCCCTGCCACCCAAGGGCAGAAGACCAACCCATGCCTTTGTGGGAAGAAGGCCAAGGTTCACCTCTAGGGGCTGCTCTAATAAGCCACATGTTCCCTCTCTCATAGCCACTCCTGACCAAAGCACAGCCACATTATGTACAACCTGTCCCCAGTAGTGGATCTAAAGCCAACTGAGATACTGTGTGTCCCTGCCAGCTGCCCCAGGTGAGCTGCACTTGAGGCTGAAACAATGCCCTCTGTAGCGACACAACCATGAGCATCAGAGCTGACACCCTTGGCAACCTGCCTGGGAAGAAGCAACCTATCTCTTCTGAAGGGGCCAGCCAAGTGACTTTAGGCCAGGTGCCCGTGTACCCTACCAGAGCCAAAAAGCCCAGCCCTCAGGGGGCAGGCAAGACAACCAACAGGAACAGTGGACTGGAGCCCCCCTGACCGGCTACAGCCCGATTCTCCCAAGGGCATGTTCCCATATGGGGACACGGCATTTTCACTGCTGCTTTGTTTTGGGCTGCTGCCCTTGGAGGCAACGCCCACAGAACTGGCTGCCTCTCGCAAACTTGCCCCTTCACGTCCACAGGCATCTTCCCCAAGAAGTGGCCCCAAAAGCTCAGTGCACAAGGGGGGCCAAGGGCATCAGGGAGGATGGCCATTATGGGATTCAACGTGCCACCCCTCCCACGATGCGCTGATAGCACAGCCTTCCTCTAGGAGCACAGACACTTCACCCAGGATGACTAGAGGGAGCCGACCCAGCAAACACACCCACAGCACAAGGAGACAAAATTTCTTCCTCAGGAAATGTGTGTCCATACCATGCTGCTCAGATTGCAGCACTCTTAGCCTCTGGTCTTCCCAAAGGCGTGTACTCACAACCCTATACCATGCTGAAGAGCCACTAGTGCCAGGAGAGGCTGACCCTCCTGGAGTTACACATTCACTAGGGAAGCTTTGTTCCCACAGCCACAAAGGCCGAAATGGCCTGTTCCCCTAAGCCCTCTGGATTGGGGTGGCAGGTTGGCAGCTGTGGGCCAGTATGTCTCTTTGAGGCCCTGGTAAGAGGACCGTTTGTCCACCACTAGCCTAGAATGGAGACACTGCATGAGCAGTGCTCATTTCCCATAAGACCCCACACATGCACCCTAGGCAGCACCATCTGGCAGGCCCAACATGGCCCAGACACATCCCTGGGTAGAGGAGGACTGTGCCAGGTTCAATCCAGGCTGTGCATGCCAAGGAAGCCTGTGTGGTTATCCTGCAACCCATCCTCTCCATTTGTCTACTCCATGCTCTGCCCTTTGTGCCCAGGATGGAAGCTACTACAGGCTGCGGGCTGCACCAGCAGGTTCAGGCCACAGTCCATGTTTGCCGAACTGACACCTGTATTTGTTGGCCAGTCAAAACACGGGAGCCCTAACCACGGCAGCTCTGCCTCCAAACCCAGGTCATTCACATGTCCTAACAAGGACAATAGCCAAGGACAGGGATTGCTCAAAGCCCAGCCAGGGTCTCTGATCAGAAGCCACGGGAAGCTTCTGCCCTTCAGCCGCCCAGGGAGTTCATTTCAAAGAGCAACCTGGCCAACACTCACCCACGCCATGAGCTCACTGTGACTCTGCCAAGGCCACACTTTCTGACTCCTGGAGCTAAGGTGTGAGCTGGCAACTGTGCCCTCCAACATGGACCAGTTCCACCAAGGCATCACCCTGGAGCCCATGGACACCCAACTGATGCAGCAACACTACTGGCCCAAAGAAGGCAGGCTCCCAAAAGCTGACACACTAGGTGGACATCTGCACCCCTGTGACCACGGGGAAGCCATCCCTCTCTCCTGCTTGCTCTGGGTGAGACAAAGTGCTGGACCTCAGATCTGACGAGAACGACAGTAACAAGTTCTCACTCATTTTGTTCAAATTTTCCAAGGAATGCATTATGAAGGAATCATCATTGATCTGAACACTTTCTGGGATGCTGGAGCTTTCGTAAGGCAGGCTGGGTATCTCATCCGGCAAGCCGATGGCCCAGGAGACTTTCAACCACCTGAGGACATAGCACCATGCCCCTGAGCAAGAAGAACTGCCAACCATCCCTGGAGTGGAATCCCGCATTCCACTGGGCTCACAGGAAATATAAGCTCTTAGGCAGTTCTGTGAAATCCTAATACAACTGCTCAACCTTCTGGAACACACATGAATGCTTATTGTTGTGAACATAGAGGGGCATGGTTCCCATTCTGGGTGACAAGTGTTTGGGGCTGCTGCACCCAGATGCACATCGAAGTAGAGGAAGGTCTTCTTCTTTCATGACCGCAAGCCTCACTTGGCCAATGTGTCTGCCAAGTGAACAAACATCACGTGCTCCATAGGCAAAGGGACACAGGTCATCAGGGAACCACTCCCATGCAGCGTTTCCCATGGGCAAGACTCCTGTCTGCACATCTGTCCCTTAGGAATGTCTGAAAGCAGGTGTGATATAACGAGTGTGGGCCAGTGTGAGAGTGTGTGCGCATGTGAGCATGTTCTTGTGCCGACCGAGGTATGCCTCTTGCACAGATGCCAGACCTCATGGTCTGCCACCAGCAGCCACAGGCCAGTGCTCTAAATGGGAGGATGTCACCCTTGACCTCTCCTGGCTACAGAGACAGGCCACAGCACACCTCTGCCACAGCCACACCTTCTGACCACAGCACACCAACGCCTCCCTGACTGTGGATGACTGGTCAACATCGACACTGTGCCCTGTGGCTTGTCACAGGGCAGGCAAACCTCATGGAAACCAGAGGGCACAGGAACCAGGAATCTACCCACATACAGGCTCACGGCACTGGGAATCCACAAGGGCCAGGGAACAGCCCTTGTCCCTCTTGGGGGGCCAATGTACTGAAGGCTGTGATCATGGTCACGCTGACAAGGCCTTCCTGCCCTACCAGGGCCAGCGGGACACCTGGAGAGCAGGAGAGGTGTTCACGTACCTAGACCCAGGGAGACATGCAGTGAAAGCAGGGAACCTTCCTGTCATGGGTCCGGCATTCCTTCAGCCAGTGCTTTGGAGCTCTTACATGCCAATAAATGTTCCCCCACTGGGCTCCAAGAACCAAAGCAGCATCCCCATGCATGGAAGGCAAGTCTTCTGCCATGTAGCATCAACACTAGGCATCCATGAAGGCTAATAACTGCCAGGAGGCACTGCCATCATCACCAAGTACAACATTGCAAGGGTCTGCCTCAGGTCATGTGTCCAATGACTCCCCCTCGGCTCACTAGCACCACAGTCTCACAGGCCACAAATGCTTCACCCACAACTAAGTGGAAGAATGAGACCAGATCACCACCCATGTACAGAGATGTGAACATTTCCCAATTTTTCAAGGCAGGTGTCTGTCCATGGCAGTGAGCCTCAGAAGGTGGCCTTCACAGTCTCCATGACACCCACAGGCTTCCATGGATGCATGCAAACCCCTGCATGGGATAACGTCAGCCAAATGAACCAGGGAAAATGGAGGCTCCTTGAACAATCCTTTCTATGTGAAATCTGAGTGCCAAAGCAGGCGAGCATTAGTACCAAAGTCCAATAGGTGGTTGGCACCAGGCATGTCCAGCTGGTGCCCAAGAGCCAGGGCACCGTTTCAAGCCACTAAGAAGAGATCCATTGAGTACCATTACTCTGGAATGAAATGTCAAGCAACCACAGGACATCAGCCCATTAACACATACAGGCACCCTAAGCCTTCCCTGGTACACAGCCCCAGGCAGGCCCGTCAGGGTCCACAGAAATGCTGGGAAAGCCTTGAAGAGCAGTCGACACAACAGAAGAGCTTACATCCCATGGGAGCCCATGTGATCACACTGTGACCTCCCCTGTGTGTGCACATGCCTTCCAGTACAGGTCACCAGGGTAAACAGCCTCTTGATTTCAGTGCCAGGTCTCCTGCACAGACCATGCCTGGGCACCCGGCCCCGAGAATGGGTGAGCAAAGGACGGAAGAAGAGCAGCTGCCAACAGAAGTGCCACTGCCATGTCCATTGCCCATGGCCCCACACCCCACAGCACACTACCATTTTCCCACTGAGGCAAAGGGAAGATCAGGTATCGCTCTTGGAGTGAGCCAGGGATCTCATCACAAACCAGTGGAAGCTTCTGTCCTTCTGCTCCCACACGCAAACCACAGGGGCTGTGTGTGCAGCAGGGCCATGGTCAGCAGTTCCAAGCCCCGGGACCATGAGGACTATGTCAATGCATGCTTCCTGCAGCCTAGCCTAGAGATGGGATGGGAGCTGTCCACCATGCCAGCAAGGACTGGCCACTCTACCAAGGTCCACTGACTCACAGAAACCAAACTGACATGTGAAGCCCCCGACCCAGATACACCACTCTCTCCCATGCTGAACCACATGGCGGTGGTTGCATGTGTGTGACCTGGAGGAAGCTGTCCCTGACTCCTGGGGTCCCTGGGAGAGCTAACATGCTGGACCTCAGTTTCGATGAGAACGACAGTAGAGGGTTCTCACTCATTTTGTTCAGATTTCCAAGGAATGCATTAGAGGGAGTCATCATTGATCTGAGCCCATTCTGGGACACTAGATAACATAACAAGCCAGGCTGGGTGGCTCAGCTGGTCAACTACTGAATTCAGAACCCTTCTGGCAGCCTGGATCATCCCAACAAAGCCACTGAGAGAGAGGAACATGAAGACCACTTTTACAGCCACAGTCACTTCCCCCTGGGCACGTGTGGGCAAGCAGCCTCCCGGGCACCTCTACCAAATCCTAGAGCCAACAGCAGAAGCTGGGGCAAAGGGACACATACCTTCGTGAGCTGGGCTTCAGTTTTCCTGGGAATCCCACATGCTGCTGGTCCTCACAGGAGAGGAAGGACTTCGTTTCTTTGCCAATGGTGAGCCTTGCATGGCATGTCCACCTGAGAAGTGTTGAGAAACCACATGCATTCTTGAGAAACCTGCCCAGGATCTCAGGTCACAAGATCTGCTACTGACAGGTGAAGAGGGGAAGACTGGTATCTGCTTATCCTGTCCCTCTGTCCCTCAGGTAGGTTGGAAGGTCTGTATTAGACCATGAGAGGAGGTCGCTGTTCAGGTCTGCATGCAAGTGTGAGCATGAATCTGAGAATGCAGGGGCTTCCACCCTCAAAAATGCATAAGCTATGCACAGATTCATGGCCCCTTGCCTTGCCTGCAAAGGCCAGAAACTGGGGACTTCAAAGAGAAGGATGCCACCTTTGACCTCTAGGGGTGGCTGCAATAGGCCGCAGACCCCCTCTGTCACATGCACCTTCTCTCACAAGCACGCAGACTCTACTACATGCTTTAGTCAGGCTATGTGTGTAATGTCGGTGTGGACATTGGGTCCCTGCAGGCTGTGACTCACACACACACACACACATACACACTCAGTTGAGCTGCACTGGAAGAACAGCCAGCGACCACAGGAACAAGGACATCCCTGACATACAGGCTGGGACCATTGAGGGAATGGTTCCAGGCCTGAGAGAGTCCAGCTGCATCTTCAGTGCCCCATGGGGGTCCAGGTCAGGCACTTGCTCATGCTAAGCCACTAGGCCCTCAAGCAACACAGGACGACAGCCGACTACACATTGTGCTTGCCCACCATGTCCCGGGGAACAGCTCCAATGAACCTAGGACCCTTTCCTCTCCAGGCACATGGCATGTCTACACCCAGCAACTTTGGGTTCCCTGACCTCCTAGGAAACATTCAGATACGTGGTTGCCTTGTCCAAAGGAGCATCCGAGTGCCCAGCAAGGTCGCGACCCCGACTCCTGCCATGCAACTCTTACCCACATGCAGCAGGAGAGGCAAGCATAGGGAAATGGGATGGAAGGCTCAGTGGAGCTTGACTTCTCTTTGGGCAGCACCCTCAGGATTCAAGTGAGGACCCCACCTTGCGCATGGGTACCTACAGCAAACCCTTCACAGCCATCATCCATGAAGACCAGTGGGAGAAGGGAAATTCTGTCCATATTCTGAACCAGGAGACGCCGACATTAACCATGCTAGACAGACAGATGTCTGTCAATTGCAGGGCGCCTGCGGCCTCTGCACTCCGGGTCTCTCCCATGTGCATGAGTTTCAACGAGTCAGCGCCAGCTCTCTGAGAGAATTGTGTCCCCTGTGCCAGGAAACACAGGCTCTCCTTTATTAAGGCTTTGGCCTGGATACACCAAGTCCTGGGGGACACATGGTCACAGGACATATGACCAAACCCACAGACCTGGGGAAGCCAGCTGCCACTCATCGCCAGTGGCCTCTTCCACCCACTGCATAGAGAGCGCTCAAGCGCTTTGGCTCTGGAATGGACGGGGCACGGGAACCAGTGTCGACTAGAGCCATGCTCTACAAGTGGACCCTAGGCCTTCAGTGGTAGGAAGCAAATGGCAGGCATGTCAGGGTCTAGACCACATGCTCTGACAGGGGGTGCCTCAAAACCACACGGCAGTTCCCATGGAAGCACATGTGACCCCATCATAACATGCCGTCCCTGGGCTCTTCCAGCCCCATCGAGGCCGTCAGCCACCACAGTGCCTTGACCTCAGTGCCAGGGATATCTGCACAGTGCAGGGCCGGCCACCGTACGAGTGGGCTGGGAGAGGATGGGAAACAGAACAGCCAGCACATGGACCACATCAGGGCCCAGGACTCCCTCACTTCCAACCTCCCACCTCATGGGCTCCCAGCTCTCCTCCTCGGGACCAGTGGCAAGGACAGGCCTCGTGCTCTGCCTCCCCTGGCATAGAACGCTCCCGTCAGAAACCACGGAAACTTCTGCTCTTCAGCACGAATACTCGGACCTCCAGGGGCTACGCGGGAAGCGGAATGCCACCCCACACAGATCCATGCCATCGTCTTCCTGGGCCTAGGCCAATGCCACCGTCTCTGACTCCCTGGACACTGATGCAAACTGGCCTCCAGGCCATCACAGCCTGGACGTCCGGGGAATGGACACCCAGCTAAGGTGGTAAAACTAACGGCCCTACAACGGGAGGCTCTTCCAGGCTCCTTCCCTGGTTGTGGTGCATGAGTGTGGCCTCAGGGAAACTGTCCCTGACCTCTCTGGCCCCTGGGTTAACAAACGTGCTGGACCCTCAGATTCGATGAGAACAACAGTAAGGAGTTCTCACTCATTTTGTTCAGATTTTCCAAGGAATGCATTATTAGGAGTCTTATCGATCCGAGCACAATGTGGGATGCAAGGAAGTGTATCAAGGCAGGCTGGGAGGCAGTGAGGGCCTGCCAGTCCCCTCCCGGCCCTCCAGCAGCCTGGGCAATGCAGACGCTTGCTACTGATCAAGAGGAGCTGTCAGACCACTCTGGAGGCAGCACTGCACACATCGTGGCACACATGAACACGAGTAGCATCTTAGGCAGATTTGTGACAAGAGTGTGTGGCAGCTCTTGGGGCCAGGGGATGCTTACTGCCTTGCGTGATCCACAGCCACAGGGCACACCCAGGGCAAGCAGCATCCCAACACCCACATGGCTTTCTCCATGCTGTTCAAAATGTTCGCCTTTCCTTTGCCTGTGGCGACCATAACGGCAAGTCCACCTGAGAAGTGTAGAGAAACCGCCTGTCAGCTGGAAAGATGTATGCATGTTCTCAGGTAACATAATCCATGCCGAAGTTTCCCCAGGGGTGGACATGTGTCTCTGCTTGCCCTGTACAGCTAAACCTGGGGAGACTTTGGACTAGAGGGATACCAAGGCAGTGGGTTAGGGTGTATACACATATGTGTGGGTGTGTCAGTGGGTGGTCAAGGGAGGAGCCCAGAGAACCTGAGAAAGCAAGCCTTGCACACAGATCCCTATCCTTATGCCCTGCCGGGCGGATGACCAACCTGTGTCTTCATGGGAAGAAGGCCAAGCTTCACCTCCAGGCGCTGTTCTGATAAGCCACACATTCCCTCTCTCACAGCCACTCCTGACCTAAGCACAGGCACACTGGGTACATCCTCTTCCTGATGGTGGATCTAAACCAACTGAGACACTCTGTGTCCCTGCCAGATGCCCCAGTGGAACTGCAGTTGAGGCAGAGAGGGCGCCCACTGCACTGACACAACCATGGGAATCAGAGCTGGCACCCCTGGGAACCAGCACGGGGCAGAAGCAGCCCATCTCTTCTGAAGTGGTCTAGTGACTTCAGGCCAGGTGCCCATGTACCCTACTGGAGCCAACAAGCCCGGCCTTCAGAGGGCAGGCAGGACAGCCAACAGGAATGGGTGGACTGGAGCCACCCTGACCGGCTACAGCCCAATTCTTCCTAGGTCATGTTCCCATGTGGGGACCTGGCATTTCCACCCCTGCCCCCCAACCCCCCACTATGTTTTGGGCTGCTGACATCTGTGGCAACACCCACACAACTGCTACGTCTCGCAAACTTGCCCCCTCACATCCACAAGGCGTCGTCTCCAAGAAATGGCCTCAAAACAGTTCGCAAGGAGGGCCGAGGGCATCAGGGGGACGGCCACCAGGGATCAGGAGGCTGCAGGAGCCCAGTGCTCAGGATGCCACGTGGCACCTCTCTCGTGACACGATGACAACACAGACCACCTCTAGGAGCACAAACACTTCACCCAGGATGACAAGGGCTTGCCGACCAAGCGAACACATCCACCACACAAGGAGATGAGATTTCGTCCTTGGGGGACGTCTGTCCACACAACAGTTCTGAGACTGTAGCACTCACGGCCTCTGACCTGCCGAAAGCTGTCCACTCACAACCCTATGCCACATTGAGAAGCCACCAATGCCAGGAGAGGCTGTCCCTCCTGGAGTTACACCTTCTCCTGAGAAGCTCTCCTCCCATGGGGACAAAGTCTCAAAGGGCTTGTTCTTCTAAGTCCTCTGGATTGGGGTGGCTGGCTGGCAGCCGTGGGCCAGTGCATCTCTTCAAGGCCCTAGCAAGAGGACCGTTTGTCCACCACTACCCTGGAATGGGGACACCAAGTGAGCAGTGCTCATTTCCTGTAAGACCCCACACGTGCACCCCCTGGGTGGCACCATCTGACATCCCCATCATGACCCAGACGCATCCCTGGGAAGCCGAGGACTGCACCAGGTTCAATCCAGACTGTGCATGCCATGGAAGCCTGTGCAACCACACTGCAACCCATCCTCTTGACATGTCCACTCCATGCTCTGCCCTTTGTGCCCAGCAGCTGCTACAGGCTGTGGAATCACATTTATGCCACAGTCCATGTCTGCCCACCTGGCACCTGCATTTGGTGGCCAGGTAAAACACAAGAGGTCTATCTGCTGCAGTCCTACTGCCAAATGCATCTGTTCTCTGCCTTGAACCCCAGGGGCTATTCACATTTCCTTGCCTGGACAGTAGCCAAGCACAGGGATTGCTTAGTGCCCAGCCAGGGTCTCTGATCAGAAGCCAGTGGAATCTTCTGCCTTCAGCGCCTACACCACCACCCTGGGAGGATGTTTCAAAGAGCAACCCGGCCGGCACACATCCATGCCATGAGCTCTCGGGGATTCTGCCAAGGCCACACTCTTGGTCTCCTGGATCTAAGGTGTGAGCTGGCCACAGTGCCTACCAACGTGGACCAGTTCCACCAAGGCCCCACCCCGGGCCCACAGACACCCAACTGATGCAGCAACACTACTGACCCAAAGAAGGCAGGCTCCCCAAAGCTGATGAGCTAGGTGGGTGTTTGCACCCCTGTGACTGTGGGGATGCCATCCCTCTCTCCTGCTTGCCCTGGGTGAGACACAGTGCTGGACCTCAGATCCGATGAGAATGACGGTAGGGAGTTCTCACTCATTTTGTTCAGATTTTCCAAGGAATGCATTGTGAGGGAGTCATCATCGATCCGAGCACTTTCTGAGATGCTGGAGCCTTTGCAAGGCAGGCTGGGCATCTCAGCAGGCATGCTGATGGCCTGGGAGACTTACAGACACCTGGAGGACCCAGAAACACACCCCTGAGTAAGAACCACCATCCATCCCTGGAGTGAAACCCTGCACTCCACAGGGCTCACAGGAACAAGCAGTTCTTAGGAGTTCCCCAAAAACCTAATGCAACTACTCAACCTTCTGTCACAGAGGGGAATGCTTACCATTGCGAGATATTGATGGGGGTGGTTCCCATGCTGGGCAACAACTCTTCAGGGCTGCTGGTCTCCTGGATCTTTGATGAGCCCACTCATCAAAGAAGAGGAAGGTCTTCCTCCTTCATGACAGCGAGCCTTGTTTGGCCAATGCATCTGCCAAGTGAAGAAACATCACGTGCTCCATGGGCGAAGGGACCCAGGTCATCAGGGAACCACACCCATGCAGCGATTCCCCTGGGTGAGACTCCTGTCTGCACGTCTGTCCCTTAGGAATGTCTGAAGGCAGATGTGATAGCATGGGTGCGGGCCAGTGTGACCATGGGTGCATGTGGGAGCATGTTAGTGTGCCAACATGAGGCAGCCCCGTGCACAGATGCCAGACCTCATGGTCTGCCACCATCAGCCAGAGGCCAGTGTTCTTAACAGGAGGGTGCCACTGCTGACCTCTCTTTCCTACTGACACAGGCCACGGCACGCCTCCCTCACAGCCACACCTTCTGACCAAAGCACACCAACCCCATGCACCACCACTCCCTGACTGTGAATGACTGTCAACATGGACACTGTGCCCCACGGCCTGTGACAGGGCAACCGAACCCTCACGGGAGCCCAGAGAGCACAGGAACCAGGAATCCATCGAGATTCAGGCTCATGGCACCGGGAATGCACAAGCGTCTGGTAACAGCCTGTATCCCTCACAGGGGGCCAAGGACTGAAGGCCTTGCTCATGCTTATGCTGACCAGGCCTTCCTGCCCTCACTGGGCCATTGGGAAACCTAGAGGTGGGAGGTATTCACATCCCTAGACCCAGGGAGACACTCAGGGAAAGCAGGGCACCTTCCCTGTCAGGGATCTGGCAGTCCTTCAGGCAGCCACTTTGGGGCCCTGAGATACCAAGAAACGTTACCCCACTGGACTCTGTGGACCAAAGGAGCATCCCCAAGCATGCAAGGCAATTCTGCCACCATGAAGCCTCAACACTAGGCATCCATGGGGGCCAGTGACTCTCAGGAGGCACTACCATTACCAAGTGTGACTTTGAAAGAGTGGGGCCTCTGGGCATGCGTCCAATGACCCCTCCCTTGGCTCACTGGCACCACAAACAATCTCACAGGACACAAATGCTTCATCCACACCCAAGCGAAAGACTGAGACCAGATAGATCACCTGCATCCAAAGATGTGGACACTTTCTAAGGCAGGCGTCTGTCCATGGCAGTGAGTCTGGGACAGCAGCCCTCAGTCTCTGCCATGCCACTCCACAGGCTTCCACAGACACATGCAATCCCCGCCACGAGAAAACGTCAGCCACATGAGCCAGGGTAAACAGACGGTCCTCGAGCAGTCCTTTCCATGTGAAATCGTGAAATCCGAGTGCCAACGCGGTGGAGCATCAGGACCAAAGTATAACAGGTGGTCAGCACCAGGCATGTCCAGATGGTGCTCGAGGACCAGTGCAGTGTTTCAAGCCACTAAGAAGAAATCTGTTGAGTACCATTACTCTGGAATGAAATGTCAAGTGACCACAGGTCATCAGCCCAACGCCACACACAGGGACCCTACGCCTTCCCTGGAACACAGCCACAGGCAGGCCCATCAGGGTCCATAGAAATGCTGGGAAAGCCTTGAAGAGCGGGAGACACAGCAGGAGAGCTTACATCCCATGGGAGCACATGCAATCACACTGTGACCTCTCCTGTATGTGCACATCTATCCCAGTCCATGCCACCAGGTTAAACAGTCTCACGATTTCAGTGCCAGGTCTCCTGCAGTTCACGCCTGGGCAACCGGCCCCTAGACTGGGCGAGCAGGAGACAGAAGGGGGGCAGCTGCCACCAGATGTGCCACCACCATGTCCATTGCCCATGGCTCCACACCCCACAGCACACTACCATTTTCCCACTGAGGCAAAGGGGAGATCAGGTATCGCTCCTGGAGTAAGCCAGGGATCTCATCACAAACCAGTGGAAGCTTCTGTCCTTCTGCTCCCACACGCAAACCACAGGGGCTGTGTGTGCAGCAGGGCCATGGCCAGCAGTTCCAAGCCCCAGGCTCATGAGGACTATGCCAATGCACACTCCCTGCAGCCTAGCCTAGAAATCGGATGGGAGTTGGTCGCCATGCCAGCCAGGACTGGCCACTCCACAAAGGTCCACAGACTCATGGACACCAAACTAACAACATGAAGCCCCTGACCCGGATACGCCACTCTCTCCCATGCTGAGCTGCAGGGCAGTGCTTGCATGCATTTGATCTGGAGGAAGCTGTCCCTGACTCCTCGGGTCCCTGGGAGAGCTAACGTGCTGGACCTCAGTTTCGATGAGAACGGTAGAGGGTTCTCACTCATTTTGTTCAGATTTCCAAGGAATGCATAAGAGGGAGTCATCATCGATCCAAGCACATTCTGGGACCCTGGATAATATAACAAGCCAGGCTGGGTGCTCAGCCCATCAGCTAGTGAACTCAGACCCCCTGTGGCAGCCTGGATCATCCCAACGAAGCCACTGAAAGAGGAACATGCAGTCCAGTCTTACAGCCCCAGCTGCGTCCCCCTGGGCACGTGCTGGAAAGCAGCCTCTCTGGCACCTCTACCAAATCCTAGAGTCAACAGCAGAAGGTGGGGCAAAGGGACGCTTACCTTCATGAGCTGAGCCTCGGTTTGCGTGAGACTCCCGTGTGCTGCTGGTCCTCACAGGAGAGGAAGGACTTCGCTTCTTTGTCAGTGGTGAGCCTCGCATGGCACGTCCACCTGAGAAGTGTTGAGAAACCACATGCATGCTTGAGAAACCTGCCCAGGATCTCATGCCACAAGATCTGCTGCTGATGGGTGCCCATGGGAAGACTGGCATCTACTTATCCTGTCCCTCTGTCCCTCAGGTAGGATGGAAGGTGTGCATGAGGCCATGAGAGAAGGTCGCTGTTCAGGTCTGTGTGAATGTGAGTGTAAGCATGAGAATGTGGAGGCCTCTACCTTTGAAAAAGCATAGGCTACACACAGATCCTAGCCCCTCAACTTGCCTGCAAAGGCCAGAGACTGACGACTTCAATGAGGATACCTCTAGGGGCTTTAACCTCTAGGGGCTGCTGCAATAGGCTGCAGACTCCCTCTCTCACACGCACTTTCCCACACGAGCACGAGGACTCTACTACACACTTTACTCAGACTGTGCCTGTGATGTCAGCATGAACATTGGGTCCCTGCAGGCTGTGACACACACACACACACACACAGGTGAGCTGCACTGGAAGAATAGCCGGCCACCACAGAAACAAGGTCGTCGCCGACATACAGGCTGCGACCACTGAGGGAATGGCTCCTGGCCTGAGAGAGCCTGGCCCCTTCTTCAGGGCCCCAAGGGGGTGCAGGTCAGGCGCTTGCTCATGATCACTAAGCCATGAGGCCCTCAAGCAAGAGGGGAGGGCAGCCGGCTGACCAGGGGAACAGCTCCACTGAAACTAGGACCCTCTCCTCTCCAGGCATGTGGCATGTCCACACCCAGCGGCTTTGCGTTCCCGGACCTCCAAGGAAATGTTCAGACACATGGTGTCTTTCTCTAAAGGAGTGTCTTCTTGGCTTCCACTACCTCTCTTACACATAACCAGTTGAAACCACTGAGCCAGTTGACAAGTCCATCTACTACTGTAGTATTACCACACATGTCATTGTTGGTTTGCGGACCATGTAATGCACCACATTATCTCTATGAAAGCTTACATCTAATTGAAAACTTGATGCAAATAATGTTTTCTGTCATTAGCAAAGAAAAAGTTTTTTCATTTGTCCACACCCTTTTGGGACTCCTATGCCCCACCCCCACCCATCGTTGTGTATAAATGGGACTTCTCTTCCTTTACAATGAGAAGACTTAATTCCAAGTCCAGTTAAGAAGAGTAGAGAATTGAAATTCACTCTGAGAAGGAAACACAGTTCTCAGGTATAAAGATCCATGCCAATGTTTTCCTTACGTTAAATCTTTCATATGCTTATTTCTGCCTCTATCCCTCATTTATATCTGATGGGAGGCACCAAGAATGAAGGAATCAATGCAAGTATGTGTACGTGTTCCTATGCAGATAACTCAGCACCTGAAAAAACGTGTCTTGTTCATAGATCCCTGACTTCAAGTCCTGCTACTCAACAGCAGATTAGTGACTACAAAAGCTGGGATGTTCTTTTGACCACTAGGGCTACTGAAATGGGCCATCAAGTCATATCTCATAACCACACTTTCTGACCAGAGCACACATACTCCATGTACACCTTTTTTTTAACCATGGATCTGATGTTAATGTCGACACTGTATCCATGCACTGTCACTGGTTATCTTTTTTTTTTTTTT